GATTATCTGTTCATTATAGAAAACCTGAAAAATACAGATAGATATAGAGTAAAAGCTTTAGTCAACTATTATCCCATGACTCAGAGACAACCATTATTAACCTTTTAACAATAAGGTTAATAAAGTTTAGCATAACCTTCATTATGTTAACCTTTATCAACCTTTAACACCTTTTTCCAATATATATTTTATTTTTTAAAGTGAGATGACTTTAATTTATACAGTATTTTTTCAAATGCTATATATGTATTTTCCATACTGTTAGAAATCTTCATAAATAGCATTTTAATAATGGCTTAATATCACATTAAATAGATGCAATAATTAATCTATTATTACTTAGGCTATACTATTTACTTTTATGTTTCTCTCAATGTAATCAGTTTGTAATTCAACTTCTGAGAATGATTCTGACCTTTGAGAATATGCAGAGACAACTTCTTCATTCAAGAAGGGGAAAAAACTCCCACTAGTATTCAAAGAGATGAAGCCTTTCCTTTTCCTCTAATAACCTTTCAATGTAGAGATTAGCTGGAGTCATTCAAGTTTCACCTTCAGTAAGGAAGGGAAGCAGTGAAAGTCTACAAGTAGCTTGGAGTAAACAGACCCAGGCTCACATCTTGGTTCTTATATTTACTTGCCTTGTACCCTCAGTAAATCGTATACTAGTAAAACCTCGGTTTCCTCATCTGTAACTGGGCAATCACCTCATGGAGTTGCCGAGGTGTTTAAAATGAGGAAGCATATGTAACCACAGCACTGAAACTGGCACAGAGTAAATGGGCCTCTTTGTAATTGTAAAACGTTGGTGGGGGAGCCATCATGACATTATTCTTGCCTCCAGTAGATTAGAGAATATGCCAAATTCTCACCTCTAGTCTCAGAAGTAAGCACTTCAGGCTACCTTTGTAAACTCACATGCAACAAATCAGTTTGATTTCTGACAACACTTGGAAGTAGGAGAAATTCGGGGTCTCCCAGTTCTCCCAGGAGTTCCTCCCTACTGACATCTCCCTACCTCTAGCTATAGCTACCAACCCGTTCCCCTTGCCCCCACAATGGTTCAATTCCTTGGCATCTCCTTTCTCTCTCTCTCTTATTGATTCTCTGATCTGAGCCCTTAGCAAACCCAGCTTTCCAACCTGCCTATTAGTCTAAGTTTCCAATAACACTAGTCTAATCTTCTAAATCCTGTTCAGTTCATTGATTTCTTGTTACCAATGTCACTGAACCCAAATTTTTTAAAAAATGTGATGGTTTTCAAGGCCTCCACCACCACCTACCTATTCCCTCGGGTTTCCCTCCGCTCTATTCATTCTGGTTCTTGTGCTAGTGTCCACCTTTCCATCTGTAGTCAGAGCAGGCTAAGTTTACTGCAGGTAAAGCATGTCTTTATCTGAAGAGTTCAACCTTTGTCAAAGGGCAATGCAACCCCAAAGGTGCTTTGAATCACTATCAGCTGCTCACATTGTAGGGAAAATGAGGTTTCAGATTCTCAGCGGTGGGGGAAGTAAATTATGGGTGGACAAGGACATAAGGATCACAGACACCATTAAGGGAAAAAGGTTATAAAGTCTGGGATTGACAGATCTCCCTCTCAATATTCCTTATTCCTTGTTCCATTTCCTACAGGTGCTTTCTCTTCTGCTTTTCCATTCTGCACTTCCTGCCATTCTGTAAGGCGCCCAGGACAGGTCCACTTGTCGGGGCAGTCACAGGTCTATACACTCTCTCCTGACCTTCCCCAGGCCCTGGTCTGTCCTCCCCGCCCTCTCACTTATTTAGTACATAGTGTCACACTTTCCCTATTGCTCTCTAACTTTTCCCATAAAGTCCTGGAGGACAGGGGCTGTGCCTGCTTCCCACTTGGCAGCTGACTAGTAAATATGTGACCCATATTCCAAACTTATCTGACAGACCATTCACCCGAATCAATGCCAGTTTAGGGCTACTTCAACTCCAGCTCTATTGGCTTCGGTTGGGCAGTACTTTTAACTTTGGATAAGATGGGCATTCTGAAATGCTGCACATTATCTGTCACCTACAAAGTAGGCCTCTCTATTGATATTAATAGAAATAGGAAGAGACATAACTGACAAAAACAACACAAAACAAACAAACCCCATACCCAAAGAGAACAAGTAAAAGTAGAAATAAATCTAAATAGAGAGATGATTTCTACTTATCTCATTTTAGGGTCCCCATGAAGGGAGGGAAGAGGAAGATCTAAGTCAGCGGTTCTCAACCTGTGGGTCGAGACCCCTTTGGGGATCGGACGACCCTTTCACAGGGGTCGCCTAAGACCATCGAAAAACACATATATAATTACATATTGTTTTTGTGATTAATCACTGTTTTAATTATGTTCACTTTGTAACAATGAAATTGGGGGTCACAACATGAGGAACTGTATTAAAGGGTCGCGGCATTAGGAAGGTTGAGAGCCGCTGATCTAAGTGTAGGGAAAACCATAGTTTTATACAGTATTATCTAATTGCATTCACATTCATTGAAACGTTGGTATTTGGGACCACGAAAACAAAAAAAAAGCAGGATTTTAGAACGAGGGTTGCTGAAACTCATGCTTCTTTTCTCCAAAGAATTTATGGGCCTTTGTACCAAAATAAAGTTCCCTCGTGGCAACCTGGCCCAGTATTAGCCATCCAAGAGACCGCCACCCTCACCCCCGCCCAAAGGTTGTTCCTGTGCCTTAGGACACAAGTTTCAGCGTTCCAGCACATTCTGCAGTTAGGGAGGACCCGAAGTAAATTCCCAGGAATAAACAAGAGCTGCAAGTGACGAGGAGCTGGTAGGGAGGAGAGGGGGTAGTGAGGGGGGCGCCGGGGAGGAGGGCGCCGAAGGGATGAACTTGGCAGCTGCAGGCGGGCCTGTCACTCCAGCTGGCAGGAGGCACCTTCACCTTTAAGTTCTTACCAAGGCGGCGCCCCCAGAGAGAAAGTACTTCTTTCTTAGCTCGAGGGGAATGAACTCAAGCAATTAAGAGGAGGAAAGGGCCGGGGCTGAGCCGCGAAGCACCTGCCCTCGGCGGCCGCATTTCCAGGCCGGGCCGCGCGCTGGCTGCGGCGCTGGGAGAGGCGCACACGCTACCTGGCGTCCGGCTCCTCCTCCGACTCCGTGGCCGTCTCGTCCTCCTCGCCCTCTGACTCCTCCTCGGTCTCCAGCTCGCGAGTCGCCTCCTCGTCCCCGTCGGAGCCGAGGAAGCTCTCGGTGGCGTGGTTGCTGTCGCTGCTCGCCATCGCGTCTTTCCGGCCGGAGCTGGAGCCCGAGCCGCCCGCGCCGCGCCTGGTGTTCTCCCTCTGACTGCGCCTCTGGCCCGCAGGGCGGCTCGGGTTCCCGGCACGGGGGGCGGGCGCGTCCCGCGACTTTAAATAGAAGGCGTCAGAAAGTTTCGCTGCCGAGCTACCAGGATCCGGACTCAGCTTCTCCTCTTCCCGGTGTCTGCCAACTTCCCCCGAGCCCGCCCCGCGCCGTTCGGCGGATCCCTGGCGGGCCCTTGGGGCAACTGAGGATCGCCCATCACTCCAAGGAGCGCAGGCTCCCAGGCAGCACCAGGTGGAGAGGAGGAAAGGCGCCCCAGGGCTGGGAACCTCTTTCCTCTAGAGCGGGTTTGGTAGGCTTCGTTTCCAGCCAAGCTACCCAACCTAGTAAGTACTCCTTACTGAACAAGGGACTTACTAGTTCAGGCACTCAGCTAAGGGTCTCACTTCCATGATCCCCTCACAAGTCCGCTGTGCAAGGTTTAACTGCAATGCTGGTCTTCTAGGAAGAAAAAAAAAAAGTAGCTAGCCTGTTCAGGTCTCGGGGCTAGTCCAGTGATCCATGGGGAACTTAGGCTTAAGTTTATTGATTTTGAATTGAGTGAAAGTTTATTCACTTTGATCTATTTTTCAGCAAAACAGGTGAAAAGCAGCAACAGTAAAATGAGCTGTGTGCAGGGCAGTGTGTGTTTTTCCTCATCTTTCAAAGTTTCTCACCTTTGAAAGATGAGAAAACTGCCAGTGAAGGAGTCCATACCATAATAAATTCGGGGTGAGAGGAACTTTATTTGGAAATGTCATAATATTATAAAGGAAGATGCCCTAAATACGTAACCATCCTTGAGTGCTGCACAGAATTACTATAGAGTACTATTAACTACTGTTTATAACAATGATGGTGAACCTTTTGAACTTGGCGTGTCAGCATTTTGAAAAACCCTAACTTAACTCTGGTGCCGTGTCACATATAGAAATTTTTTGATATTTGCAACCATAGTAAAACAAAGACTTACATTTTTGATATATTTTATATATTTAAATGCCATTTAACAAAGAAAAATCAACCAAAAAAATGAGTTCACATGTCACCTCTGACACGCGTGTCATAGGTTCACCATCACTGGTTTATAATGATTACTCAAGTCACTATAATATTAATTATGCTCAACACATTCTGATAAAGAAGAGTTGCACAGTGTATATTTTAGGAAAATTTTCAAGAAAGGGAATATATAAAACATAATTGCTTTAAAAGTGTTAAATATCAATAATCTAAAAAATTCATCTGTGTAGAAAGCTCCATTCCTAGTAATACCAGAGAAATAGGGTGTTGATGTAGTTAGTTGGCTTAACAATGAAAGAATGTGATTCCAAGACCCTCTGTATAATCTAAATCAGTGGTTCTCAACCTTCCTAATCATGACACTTTAATACAGTTCCTCATGTTGTGGTGACCCCCAACCATAAAGTTATTTTCGTTGCTACTTCATAACTGTAATTTTGCTACTGTTATGAATCGTAATGTAAATATTTGCTATGCAGGATGTATTTAGGCGACCCCTGTGAAAGGGTCATTCGACCCCCAAAGGGGTCTCGACCCACAGGTTGAGAACCTCTGATCTAAATAATCAAGCACAATAATTGGATTCAGTTCAGTTCCAGATGATAGCTAAGGCCTCAATCTCATCTCCAAAGACTCACAAACACACACAAAAACACATCAACAATTTCCATATATAAACTTTATTGCATTTGACATAATACAAAACTTTAAACATAAAGAAGAAAATGAAAATATGCACCTTTTACAAGTCAAAGAAAAGCAAGTCTTAGCATTTGGATTGGTTTGAAAAAAACAAAACGAAAAACAAAACCCCCAAATATATTAGAGGTACAAACTGTGCTACAGCAGGTCTAAAAGAAGTTGTACAGAGTCCTTTTGAAAAAGTTAAAACTATTTCCAAGATTACTTTTCATATTTAAATGTACAGGCATTAACCACTTTACAAATATTTACACAACCCCAAACAACCTTAATAAACACTGTAGCTTTTTAAGCAGCCACCAATACTTCTTCATGTGGAAAAGAAACACTAAAAAAGTATCTTTACAAACATTAAGCTTTTATTTATAATGATTTTATGTCTTACCCTAAAACATTTTATTAGGGACTTACTGCCTAAAAATTCCAGTTGATTACAATCCTATAATTGCACACGGAAAAAAATCTGATATGATCAATAGGTTGTAATCTCAACTTTGACCTTTCAGTTTCTGTTGTTTCATGTCACATGGAAAATAAAAGCACAAAATGGGAAGTAAAGCTAAAATGCATATTGCACTAAGCTACTATAAAGCATAAGGGACTTGATCTTTTCAGAATGTCTACAACGAATTGATTTTTTAAAAACAATTCACTAACTGCTGTTCAATACAGAGTTAGCGCTCATATTACTACAGTGCAAAATGTACTGTTGTCACAAAAAATTGAAAGCAATCTTGAGTACATCAAAAGCATCTGAGGTACTAATGAAATGCTAATACAGACACACGTACAGCCTCTATCCTGATAGCAAGTGAAGACTTAAGGCAACTGTCCAGTATTTCATGCCTTTGCAGTGATTTCATTGAAATAAAAGATTTCATTTTGCTTCAAGTAACTGAATAACTGACTTGACTCTTCACTTTACTAGACCAGACAGGCAATAAACTATCTACTGAAGATTATACTTTCCAAAATTCCATAAATCTTTTCAGTATTAGCATGTGGTACAATTAACTGAAGTTATATCAAAAACCTTTTATTTGTTCAGATAGTCTCCCCAAAAATATTTTATCTGATCACCTGAAAATTCATGCCATAATATCACTAATCATCAATGTAAACATTTTCAAAAATACATCTCTAAATCAAAAGGTTTTATTAGGAAATGTTATAATAAAATATGCAATCTTTATATAAGTATGTCCTCTTAAAAATAAAACATGAAAACAAGAACAATGAAAAGAAACTATGATGGAGGTAAACAAAATGCATTATGGTATTACTATTGTTCTTTATCAGAAGAATTTATTAAGTAATAGAGGCCAGTCATCTTTTCAGGACAGCAGCTCTTAAAGGTAGTATACTGTTCAAATCTTTTTTGTTTCTCAATCTGTGCCATGACTGTGAGAAGAAAAAAAAATCATTCTTAAAACCTAAAGTATGTGCAGAATAAATACTGAACAGAAAGTTACTAGAATGTTAATAGTTCTCTCGAAGTAGTAAAATTTGGGGTGGTTTTTTTTTCTTCTTTGTGTTTTTATCTCCCAAGTTTTTAACACAATACAAGAATTGTTTCTGTCATCAGAAAAGAAAATGTTATCTATAAACTCAATACCTATGTGGCTTCGATTAATCGTATAGGTGGTACAAAAAGACACAAAATTGACAATATTCACATTTATTCACAGATTTAAATAATTTCATCTAAAGCAGCAAGGTACAAGGTAATTAAAACAAAATCTTTGAGTCTGAAAGAATAAGGGAAGACTACTTAAATTATCTGATTGACTATTTGGCATCTAGCAAGCTTTTTCAATTAAAAATATTATTTATGAAGGTGATAGTAAATCTATTAAAAAACACTTTATTTATGACTCTAGAAAAGACAAACAAGTTGAATTGGTAAGAAAGAAAAAAAAAAAGGAACTGAAGCACCCTAGCTGGTTTGGGTGAGTGGATAGAGCGTTGGTTTGGGTGAGTGGATAGAGCGTCGGCCTGCGGACCAAAGAGTCCCGGGTTCAATCCTGGTCAAGGGCACATACCTTGGTTGCAATCTCCTTGGGCCCTGGCCCTGTTCAGAGGCAACCAATCAATGTGTTTCTCTCACATCAATGTTTCTCTCTGTCTTTCCCTCTCTCTTCCACTCTCCCTGAAAATCAATGAAAAAATATCCTCGGGTGAGGATTAACAAAACAAAAAAAAAGGGAACTGAAGAAAGCTCATCCATCAATAAGAATAGCTATGCAAGCAATACTGTTTTTGAGTTATCAATTTAACCTGACAAAAATATTCCCTCTGGAATATCTGTTTTGTCCTGCAGAATTCCATGCATTTAAATTTTCTATTCTGGTTGATAATTGAGAGGGCCTAATTTGAAGAATAGTTTGTAATATGATACACTTGCATTTTTAATTATCATCAAAATAAAGTCCACTTGTATGTCTTGATAATAAAAAGGTATGTCTCCAAAATGATCGTCACAGTCGCTGATCTTTTTCTTCTATGAATCATTTCTCCTGTATGTCTCATAGTACATATTTTTATCAGTGTGTTACTACATTGTACTGCGAAATTCCTTGAGGACTAAAACCCCACCTAGCAAAATTACTGATGAATAAATTCATAATGTGGACTAAAGAGCTAAGGAATAAACTACAGTGTGTGTGTGTGTGTGTGTGTGTGTGTGTGTGTGTACATATATATGACTGAAGTTTATATATAGCGTGTATATACACAAACATATGTTTTTAACTTCTCAAAATATAAACAAAGATAAAATGAGACTCAAGTTCCTGTTAGGACATGCAAAAGAAAAATCATGGGGGGGGAGGGGAATGGGAGATATCTGTAATACTTTCAACAATAACAGTAAATGAATAAACAAATAAATAAGCTTTCTTTTAAGGTATAATAAGTTCCCCAATATTTTAGGAGGCAAAGAAGTCTATTAGGCTTTAGTTTCATTTTGAGAGTTTAATAAGTCACTATGGAAATAGTTATTTCCACAAAAGTGAAAGCCATGTGAATGGAAACAGAAGGGAAAGTATATCTAAATTCAAGTAATAAATTCACTATTGTGCCACATTAATGGCTTCACAACACAGAAACCAGGGCTATTCTGTCCAATTACTAGTACATATGTATTTCATTTTCAAAGCACACTAGTCTACTAATGCGTTTGAGTTAATCTAATATACTGTTTACCTTTAAAAATTGATCCTTTATCATGTCAAACTTCTGCTTTTCATGTACAGCTCTGGCAGTATTTGTTCCATCAAAAGGTTCTGCAAGTTATAAACAAAAAATTATTAAAATGAAAGCTTCAGTTTTTTTATTTGATTGAACTACATGAAACTGTCAATATTTGACAGTTTTTGACCTATAAAATAGCAATTACATATAATTCAACCTAGTATCTTATTAGACTTATGCATATTAAAAACAGTTTTATATAGCTATGCACTGTCTAATAAGGTAGAAAGAATTCAAGTGAGGATAACTAAAAATGAAGTCATTAGCCTAAGTATGTTAAATCTAAATCATAAACGTGGATAAGATTTCTGAAGAATTACAGTGTCAAAAACCTATCTACCTTTAAGAAAATAAAAATAAGTTAAAGAATTAAAGTTATCAAAAAGAATAAAGCACTGTATCTGAGAGAGGTGGTTAATGTTAAATATCACAGAAAGATAATTTTAAATTTAATTTGAATTTAAAAGACCACTGATTTGTCAAGCAACAGAAAGGTCAATCAATCCCTTTGAAAGTCTAAACATCGTGAGGATAGAAGACAGTGCAGAGAGTATGGTGTGAGTTGATGGTTTAGAAAGATAAGTGAGAACAGTGTAACTGGTATAAGAAATTTGGCAGTGAAAAAGAGAGAAAAGATAGCAAGTAGAGAAGACAGGAAGAAAATGAAGAGTTTTAGAGAACAGAACATTATCTTCCACATCATCCACAAGAGGGAAGAGTCCATATATACAAACAACAAATCCTATATAATAAAAGCCCAGCGACCATAACAGCAGAACGACCAGAATGACCGTTTGACCAGTCACTATGAGGTGCACTGACCACCTCTTGGTTTTTTCAGCGCCAGCCGGCAGGCTCTGATTGCCGGATGGCGAACGGGGAACCGGGGTGGGTGGCAGGGGAGGCGGCAGCGCCAGGACTCTTGGTCCCTCCCCCTGGCCCTTAGACTCCGATCTCCCGATGGCAAACTGGGAACCTGGGTGGCTGGTGGCGGGGGGTGAGGCCAGCTGCTGGCAGCCAGAGAAGATGGCCCTGATCGCAGGCTAAACCTAGGGACTGCACCCATGCATGATTTTGTGTGCTGGGCCTCTAATGTATTATAATATTGAGAAGACAAAGAAACTGAAGATAATAGTGAGAAAAGGAGGCTAACAGATGGGATAGCTGAAATAATGCCAGCAGTAGGTAAAAGTTACTCGAGTTTAAGAATTTTGGCAATAAAAAAGAGGGGGGTGAAGTACTTAGAAGAGGCAGTAGGATGAAGCCAAGAGTATTGATAAGAACTATGTGTGCCTTTTAAAGCTGAGACCTGGAAAAAGGGTGAAATCCAATGGAGAGGTTAACTTTACATTTGTAATACAATCTAAGCAGGCAGGCCCATCATTTTAAAAACTCCTTTTGTTTTTTTGTTTTATTGCTTAGAAAGGCTATTTTAAAAAGGAGTTTACTGTCACAGTACTGTTTTTTTCAGTAGAATAATGCCATATGCCAAACTATCAAGTCACATCACACATAGCACTTTACAACAGTCAGTGTTTCTCTGAGTCAGTGATAGTCAACTATATGTAAATTAATTTTAGATAACAGAATATCTCAGCATTTAACTTTTAAAGTAAAATCAATTTCTATTCATAAAAATCTAGCTTGCATTAATAATCAGTATAAAAGAACTGATTTTATTTTAATAAGAATAACGTTTCCATCTATTACAAGCAGAAGGGATACATAAAGACTGCTGAAATATTACCAACTAGAAACACTAAACACCTAAATTCGTGTTTGTTATTTTCTACAAATAAAAGTTTTTAAATTATTTTTAAATATTAAATTAAAATCTTATAACTAAAAGACTTGTAAACCACTTCAGAATATAAATTTATTATTTTATAATAATATAAGCTGAACTTATTCAAGTAATTCTCTCAGTACCATAATGATAACTGAATGACAGAGAGTAGTGGAAAAGCTACCTTCGACACAGATGTATTTATTTCTCCATTCAATACCATCAGGCCTGGGAATGGCTTTGGCTTCACGAACTGAAATCATTTGACTGTTCCAGCTATAAGAAAACATTAATCATGTTAATGATTAATTTCCCATTTTTATTATATTAGTAGTAAGGCCTCCTCTGATTTTCGCAAAGAATACTGAAACTTGCCTCAACCCTCAACAACACAATCCCCATTTCCGTTTCTCTTTTTTCTCCATAGCACTATTAGTCTAACAATTTGCTTATTGTTGTTTATAGTGTGTCTCCAAGATATTAAATTATTTCTGTATTTTTTCATGTTCAACTAGTTGTTTAGCACAAATTAGGTACTTAATACTTATTTATTGAATAAATTAAGCAATATAAAAAAAATAAGAAACCCTGGCCCCGTGGCTCAGTTGGTTGAAGTATTGCCCTATACACCAAATGACTGCAAATTCGATTCCCAGTCAGAGCACATACCTAGGTTGTGGGTTTGATCCCAAGTTGGGGTGCATATAGGAGGCAACTGATAAATGTTTCTCTCTCACATCAATGTCTCTCTCTCTCTCTCTCTCTCTCTCTCTCTCTCTCTCTCTCTCTCTTTCCCCCCACCCCAGTCCTCACTCCCTAAAATTAATAAAAAACATATCCTCAGGTGAGAATTTTTAAAAAGAATATATAGCCCTAGCTGGTTTGGCTCAGTGGATAGGTCGTTGGCCTGCAGACTGAAGGGTCCCAGGTTCGATTCCGGCCAAGGGCACATGCCTGGGTTGCGGGCTCGATCCCCAGTAGGGGGCATGCAGGAGGCAGCCAATCAATGCTTCTCTCTCATCATTGATGTTTCTCTCTCTCTATCCCTCTCCCTTCCTTTCTAAAATCAATAAAAATATATATTTTAAAAAAAATTAAAAATAAATAAAAGAAAAGTGTAAGTAAGCAAAAAATATAAAAATTATATTCATTATTAATACCCCACTAAGAATTTTTAATTTAAGAAGAATTAATCTTCTTGTGTTATTTTCTGATTTAGTCAGTAATTTATGTTCAGGTCCATATCTATTTGTATGATTTGGAAAAAAATTCTGAAACTTTCCAAAAGAAGCAAGTAGGTGCTGGTTCAGAAAACAAAATTAATACTCTATGAAAACATTAATACACTGTGAAAACATGTATTACTACATATGGATGTAGCAGCTAATAATGAAGTTTTACTCAAGTAAAATAATTTTATCTGCATATCTGAAGGTAAATTGTCCAGTCTTTAGTAATGTATTAGCATTACATTGTTGTTTCTTTTAATTTCTTTACAATTATAATAGTTTGTACAAGTACTATTTTCTTTTTTTCAAGAATTATTTTAACACTTATGACTACTCAGCCTGTATACAATAGAAAATGAGTTTGGGGAGTAGCTGGTATCTAGCTTTCTCCATCATTTCAGTAAGAAGAGAAAAGACCATAGTTTGGGACCTTCCAAGTCCAACACTTTCTATATTTACTAGATAGAGAAACCATCTATACTAATAAAATGGTAATATGCTAATTAGACCGGACATCCTTCCAGACAAAGTCACAGTGGCGGGGGCTGAGGCAGAGGCAGTCAGGGGCAATGAGGCCGGCAGGGGAAGGCAGTTAGGGGGCGATCAGGCTACAGAGGAGGGCAGTTAGGGAAGATCAGGCCAGCAGGGGAGCAGTTAGGGGACGATCAGGCTGGCAGGGGAGCAGTTAGAGGCATTAGGCCAGCAGGCAGAGGTGGTTAGGGGTGATCAGACAGGCGAGCGGTTAGGAGCCAGTGGTCCCGGATTGCGAGTGGGATGTCTGACTGCCTGCAGGATCAGGCCTAAACTGGCAGTGGGACATCCCCTGAGGGGTCCCGGATTGGAAAGGATGCAGGCCGAGCTGAGGGGGAACCCCCCCAACCCCTGTGCACGAATTTCATGCACCGGGCCTCTAGTAAGAAAAGAATATAATAGTGGGTTCAGTATGGCATTTATTTCTGCAAAACTGACTAATTTCCATGTTAAATATTCGAGAAAATATTGCATCTCATGAAGTTTGATCATTGAAAAGAATCCTTAAAGTATAGTTTTCTACATTTTCTTATCAAGAGTACAGTTCAGAAACAAAATTAACACGTTAAGCACCCAGCCTGTTTGCCTTCCAGACGGAAAGTATAGTGTCAGTCACTGGTGACTGACATGAGCTTAACGTGTTGAAAAACAAACAAACGAAAAGAGTACAGTTTAGAAATACAGGGTGAGGCAACAGAGCCCAGCTGGTATGGCTCATTGGTTGAGCATCGAATCATGAACCAGGAAGTTAACAGTTCAATTCCCAGTCATGTCACATACTTGCCTGGGTTGCAGGCTTGGGGTGTGCAGAAGGCAGCTGATCAATGATTCTTTCTCATCATTAATGTTTCTATCTCTCTCCCTCTCCCTGAAATCAATAAAAACATTTTTTTTAAAAATACAAAAATAAAGTTCATAGACTCTCCAATATCTGAGTCTATAATATTTAGAACTTTTGTCTTGCTAAAATACAAAATTATTACATCTATATTTTTCTTTTTTTAAAATTCTTTACATTGAAAAGTATTAAATATGTCTCCTTCTCCCCCATTGACCTCTCCCAGCATGCTCCTGCCCCCCAGCACAGGCCCTCACCCCCTATTATCTGTGTCCATTGGTTATGCTTATAAGGAAGCATATAAGTCTTTTGGTTGATCTCTTACCCCCAACCTCCCACTATTTTTTTCAAGATTCCCTGAGTCACATAATTCTTTTTTCCCCCTATTTTGTCAGTTCCCTTTCCCCGGGTACAGTTTTAGAAGTCTGGTTTCATTATGAGAATTTTCAGCAGCAAAATTTAGGAGAAAGTTATGGGTGAAATAGGTAAGAACATCTTAGTAATTTTTAAATGGCCATATAAATTTCTGTAACATTTGTACCATATACTCAAGCATCTCTCAAAAGGCACTTAATTATGTCTTCAAGTATAGAAAATTTTTTAATTGAACATTTCAAAGTTCAGAAGAAATCCTTACAAACATTTCTAACTTATCAGAATTTTTAACAGCACCTAGTTCATCACCATGACTACATTCTTGGCTGTGCTCTCTACAGTCCAATTTCTGAAAATATCTGGTATGAAACAATAATGCACTTGACAAATGCTCTATATGATGAGAGAGTAGAGGAAAATGGCTCGTAAATCATATATCATGATGATAACAAATGCATACCAAAGTTCAAAACCTTTTTCAAGCATCAGCATCCTAGCCAGTATCATTTGGCACAGCAAGCTAGTTTCTGTCATTGCTAAACTAACACACAAATGGGACAACTACCATCTTGTTTCAGTCCAACAAAGCAGCGATTTTCAAGGTGTTTGTACGTAGGTGCTCTAATCCTAAACCATACACATGGCAGAAATGTAACTTTCTACTATGTGTATCCTTTTCCTCTACAAACTTCTCCCAAGCCTTAATTTATATGACATAACAGACCATGCCAATATGGTCTAACAAATTAGAGTGTGTTTTGTAGTCAGGCCCCAGTTTTCTCACTATCTGCTGTATTGACATGAGAAGGTTCACAAATTCCCCCTAAGCTTGACAGGGGGTTATTTTAAGGATTAAGTGAGGTAATACATGGGAATCACTTAGCATACTCTAAAGCAGTGGTTCTCAACCTGTGGGTCGTGACCATCGGAAAACACATATAGCATATCAGATATTTACATTACGATTCATAACAGTAGCAAAATTACAGTTATGAAGTAGCAACAAAAATAATTTTATGGTTGGGGGTCACCACAACATGAGGAACTGTATTAAAGGGTCACAGCATTAGGAAGGTTGAGAACCACTGCTCTAAAAGGACACGAAATAAAGAAATATTCACTAAATATCAGCTATTTTGTTATTCCAATATCTGAACTCTAGAGTAACCTTTACAGTGTCCTATGTTTCATATAGTCTTAAATCTTTCTTCATCTTTATATTAATGAAGCCTCCTTCCTTTTTATCCTTGTTGCCTGGACTTATATGTAGGCCATTTTTAACCTGGACTATCATAACTTCATTCTTACTGAACTCCTTTCTTCCAGCACTTTTCCTACTCCTTTTCTTAACCTTATTCAGCAATTTTAGTAATCTTAAGGATCTTTGAGTCAGGTCTACAATCTTACTTTATGCTTCAAATTATTTATTTATTTATAAATATTTGTCAAGTACCCACTATCTGGCACTGAACTAGGTACTAGAGAAACAACTTTAACTAAACAGGTTCAACAGTCTGGTATAAGCTTTACTTTGAGAAATTTAAAAAACATTTCATCTTTCACGCCCTATGTTTCAAATCATCACATAGAAGTCAATTTTCTTTAAAGCTAATACATCATAGTACATAAGACAATATCAACATGTGGTAAAGTATCATAGTTAAGAGTGTGAATTTTGCAATCAAAACTATTTGAAATACTCCCCTTACAAGCTGTGTGATCTTAGTGCAAGTTTCTTAACCTCTTTATATGCCTCACTGGTAAAATGGACGTAATATAATACCATCTTATATGGTGATAATGTAAACTGAATGAGATAATACATATAACCTGTTTAGAATGTTTACCCCACTTAGTAATAGCAACTTATTACTCTTACTATTATTATACCCTCTCCAAACCTCTTCAGTGTGGGATTCTGTGGTCACTGTATTTCTCTAATTTTGTATAACTCCTAAGTCCTTTCTCCTTCTCCTTCAAGCTTTCTAAATTAATCAGAAGAGTTGCAAACATCCCCTAATCCTATTCTATGAACTAAGAACTCCCATAAGAACTTTCAGTTATGTCCAGTCTGATTATATACTTTAATCTTTCATATTTACACATTACTGTCAACAAAAAACATGGAAAAGGATTATTCCTTGCTCTGTATATCATATACCACAACTATTAAATTCAGATATCAGGTATTAAGTAAATATTTTTCCAATTTGTCACAGCTGTGTTTTTTACTACAAATTTTCAATATTTAAAAAATAGATGTTCCAAATGATATAGTACCTACATATGACCAACATAAACATTTATTCAGGCCCTACTATGAAAAGAGGCAGCTAAACATAAAATGGGATCACTAGTGAAAGCAACTAAAACTGGGCTTAGTGAGCTATAATTTTTTTAGCTAGGAATATGAAATCTACTTAGTATCTAATAATTAATCTTTAGATATTAACTTTTATAAATTATACATTTCTGGACAAGTTTACAGCATTGAAATTGACAAAAATAACCTTTTAACCAAATTTGTAGCATTCACTTATATAAAAATCAATAAATACAATTTGAGGTTTCACTTACTCAAATTCCGTAGCATAATACTTAAGAAAGCCCAGTAAGAGGTCGCCAAGATTTGATTCATTCTTTGAGAGGTAAGGAGGAACATTACATGGAACTTGATGTACAAGGTGCAGTTGTATAGCAGGACTAAAAGATTCCTGTCAGGAAAAAAAGGGGATGAAATGTAAAGCCATTTAAAACATACACTAAAAACTTTATAAATCCTGATCTAAATAAAGTGCTCTGAAAAAGAGAGAAGAAATTTTTTTTTATGTTGGTATTTTGGAAATTTGAAGATTTTCTTACATGTACGTTTACCAGTGTTTGGAGTAGGCCAGAAAGTACCTGAAAATCTAAGATATTCTAATCCTTGGCTGAGATATAACAAACAATGGATCACTAGCAAAGATTTTCTAACTCATAAATAAAATGTTACTGTACATGCCGAAACTCCATGCAATAACAGAGAGATTCCTTTACAAATGTATCTCCTTTTTAATTATTTCTATAAGAAGCAGTTGCACTTTATAGAGGTTATATCAAGCACCAGGTAAAAGAGCTCTTTCTAACTGCCAGTTAAAATTTCTCTCAAAGGCCATAAAAATAACTTTAATAAATAAATAGTACCTATACCAATTAAAAAATTTTTATTTTGTATCTTAGAGGGAAAAGAAGAGAGACATCCAACATGAACTGAACTTGAAAAGACAAAGAGGACAGGGAACAGAAGAAAGGAAAATACCAGCAAGCAATATTCAGCAAACTTTTACCGTAATATTCATAAATATTCATTTTCATTTGCTTGTAATCCAGGACTAAACAGCACCCTTCTTAGAAAGAATACTAATGGGTACTTATTCTTTTTGCCTATGGTATGCCATTCATTCTCATATTTAATCTTTTCTCTAATAGCAGCAAGTTCTGGCTCTGAAACACACTAAATGAACTATACAGCTTCAAGAAGTATATATTTGTATGCCTGAAAATAAAAGAATTTAGTAAATAATCTTGTTTTTCACTGCTAAAAAATAAACTCCAATTTTGCAACTGGCTGCTTGCCCTAATCCAGGATCTGAAAAAGTAGGGAAAGGACAGCTGGTTGTTAAAACTACTTACAAATAAAAAAGAAAATGTTTCCTAAGGTAGTTTGCAGTGCCCTCAAGAAGGGTTTTCTATACTACCCGTTGTCATCAAAATAGAAATACTTTTTTTTTTTTTTTTTTCAAAAAAGCTATTGGCTAAGGCAGCAGAATGACAACTACACTTAACATTCCCAACTCTAACAAATCAACCTTGGGTTTATTGATATCGATTAAATTAGTAATGTCTAAATAACTCAAGATAACTGCGTTGTAATACAGAGAATTAGGGTACTGCATCTATTTAATGGTAGTCATCAAAAATCATCACTAAAAAATTAAGGAGCAAGAAAATTTTAAGCTTCCCTCCTCTACCCCATTATCTATAACTAGAGGCCTAATGCACGAAATTTGTGCAAGAGCAGGCCTTCCTTCCCCCGGCTGCCAACACCGGCTTCCCTCTGCCACCTGGGACCAGGCTTCCCTCTGGCTGCCAGCATGCACCCAGGACCTGCGCTTCCCTCACAGCCCTGGCTTTTGTCCAAAAGGTCGTCCAGAAGGACGTCCAGTCTAATTAGCATATTACCCTTTATTATTATAGATTCTATCAATAATTTTTAACCACCAGAAAATGATTCCCTCAGAAGAAAACTCTATTCCAAAACCACAATTCATAATGTTGGGACTCCTAAATTGACCCTTCCCTTTCCACTTCTAACATATTTAGTATTACAAGTAGATATACTAATAAGAAAGAAGCCTCAATTTATAATAAAGAGTAAAAGCAGAAGGAAGAGCAGGTATACTGCCTCTACCACCTTTTGTCTCTTAATTGTTATGTGTAAAAAATTGGACTTAGGACATTACTTAAAATTGTAAAATTTCAATATTACTTTCTGGGAAATTGAAGACAAAAGTGTAACAAGTTCAAGTGGCAAGGAAAATAAAAGTGGGTCACTGTTTAATACCTTCAGCTCTGAAAACTACTTACTAATTTTGATTTCTAGCACCTAGCACAGTAAGCATATAATTTATGAACTGATGCTAAAACAGAAGTTATTTTCTTACCTGAAATTTAACACAGTTTGAACTTCCTTTAAATTTTTTATTTTGCTCAGTAATTTAAAGAGAAGTATCAGCAATTGTGAGATTAAAACTGAAATAGTGAGACCTAGTCTATACAAATGATTGAATGACCTTGGACCAATTTGGCCAGTCTCCTCTTAGCTCCACTGTTCTTTTTCACAGTCATATACAAAAGGGCCATATACATACTGAGGGAGATAGATAGATAGATAGATAGATAGATAGATAGATAGATAGATAGATAGGTAGGTAGATTAGATAGATTAGATAGATAGATAGATAGATAAATATCAAAATCCAAAAGAAGCTACAAGTACTAGTCAATAGGAATTCCATTTAACCTTAAGAAATACCCATTTTTGGTTCACATTACAGAAAAATTCTCTGCTTTAAGAAAAATTTCATCTAAGATTTTTTTCAAAATGGATCTCCCCCACTGCAGTTATGCTATTTTGGACATGATGGGGGTAGGTAGAATTTACACTAATGTATTAGAAAGCACATAAAGAGCCGAAAGGGAAAAAAAGGTATCCTTAAAATTACAACTTAAATTCATGAAAAAGCAACTTAACTGATACAATATATAGTAATATCTATTTATTTTATTTTATTTATTGATTTTTAGAGAGATAGGGGGAGAGAGAGAGACATCAATTTGTTCCACTCATTCATGTATTCACTGGTTGATTCTTGTATGTGCCCTGACCAAGGACTGAACCTGCAACCTTGGCATATCAGGATGACGCTCTAATCAACTGAGCTACCCAGACAGGGTTATAACATTTACTAGAGGCCCAATACACAAAATTCATGCACTTGGGGGGGGGGGGTCCCCCTCAGCCCAGCCTGCACCCTCTTGCAGTCTGGGAGCCCTCAGCGGGGATGTCCAACTGATACGCAGAGGCAGGAAAGGCTCCTGCCTCTGCTACTGCACTCGCCAGGCATTGGCCCAGCTTGGGGCTTCTGGCTGAGCAGCACTCCCCCTGTGGGAGCGCACTGACCACCAGGGAACAGCTCCTGCATTGAGCGTCTTCCCCCTGGTGGCCAGTGCACATCATAGCAAACAGTCATTCGGCTACTCAGTCGATTTGCGTATTAGCCTTTTATTATATATGATGATGATTTTTGGATTACTACTGTTTCATTTTTTAATGTAGAGAAGACTTTTTGTTTGTTTTTTATGTGGGGAGTTTTATTTTGTTCTTTTTTATTGGAAAGGCATTTGTATTACTTTTTTTTAAATGTATTTTTATTTATTTCAGAGAGGAAGGGAGAGGGAGAGAGAGAGAGAGAGAGAGAGAAAAACATCAACGATGAGAATCATTAATCAGCAGCCTCCTGCAAGCCCCGTAGTGGGGATCGAGCCCGCAACCAAGGGCATGTGCCCTTGACTGGAATCGAATCTGGGACCCTTCAGTCCGCAGGCCAACACTCGATCCACTGAGCCAAACTAGCTAGGGCTGTATTACATTTTAAGGTTATATCTTATTTTGGGCTTCTCATAACCAAATGTGTAATGAATCAATTCTAAATGATATTTAAATGCTGCTATTTTTAACGATACATATTTTCCATTTCTCTCCAATCAATGCCAAGGTAAGGAAAACTTTGAAAGGCAATCACTTGAAAAACATCTGAAAAGTTTCACTGTTTTGTCAATACAATTGTCTGCCAATATGGCAAAAACATCTTCTGCCATATTCTATTATGGGAAGCTGTGCCCATAATTTCTTACTTTATCTTCAAAGTTTGAAATCTGGACAATTAAAGATCTTCTGGAATAAATTAGATTGGCTAAACTTTTTCTTGGTAACTTTTCCTTAAAAAAATGTGTAGATGTAAAGAGTAAGTAGATACAGAGTAAGTAGAGTTTTGCCTGAATAAAGAACTGAATAATATATTGAAGTTCTACCACGCTTTCTTTATTGTATACAGGTCACCACCAATATGGTGATGTATGTTGGAAAACTGATCACTAAATTTCCGTTACATTATATCACATTTTAGTGAGATTTTTAAAGTTTTGAAATCAATATAAATAAGTATTTAACATAAAGTATGAGTACTATAATAAGGTGATTAAGGCATAAACTTTGGAGTCAGACCACCTAGGTTTGAAACGTTGTTCTTCTATTAATTAAATGAAGTTACCCAGCTTGGCAAAGATTCTTCATCTATAATATAAAGAAAATAGTACTCATAGGGTTGTTATAACGATTAAATAACATAATGTATGTAAACCTTAGCAGCAATAGTATTACCTAAATATTCATAATTTAATATATGCCAGGCATCATCATTATTTTAACTGTACATTTATATAGTAATGCAGTACAGTTAGGTCCTAAAACTTATAATGTATTATTTCAAAATTAACTTCCTTATGCTTTTAAAAATTTAAGTAATGTCAACTTTAAAATAATAATTTTAGTATCATTTTATTTTTTAATATATTTCAGAGAGGAAGGGAGAAAGAGAGAGAAACATCAATGATGAGAAAGAATCATTTGTGCCCCGACTGGGAATCGAACCATGACCCGCTGGTTCATAGATCAATGCTTAACAACTGAGCCATGTCAACCACGGTTCATTGTCATTTAAAAAAAATAAATCTTCACCAAAGTATTTTGTCTTTTCAAAGGTATTCAGTGAAAGCTTGTTTCATTTTTCATGTTTAAAAGCATACCCTAGTACTATTGGGAACTCATTATAATAGTTCTTCATATAGCAGAATTTAGTTTTTAAAAGGAGGAAAATAAGATATACAAATGCCAAAAGGTTGTTGTCATAAATGTGTCCTCTAGAAGATGGCCCACCACAAACTAGGAAGTCCCACTACGGCAAAGCTCTCTTGCAGTAAACCTTTCATTACCCAGCACCTTGCATGTATGTATTGCAATTATTGCAATAAATGAGGTTCAGAAACAAGATCAGTTCTTTTCAATTATCAAGGATTAAATTGTATTTAATTTAGGTTCTATGTCAAGTGTATTTATTATATTTTGTGATACATACAAAATAAGTAAGTTCTTTGAATGCTGACCACTAAAGCTAGATACTATGTTTTTCTTTATAATATGACCACTTAGTAAGTTTAAAAAACTAACAGGTAAAAATTATGTGGTTTCAGTAGGTTGGTCAAACATTCTAAACAAGTAGCTTAAATAATATTTTCAAATAAAACCAGGAACAAGGCTGTCTATGGAAGAAAACAAAAATAGTAGGACTATAAAACAAGGCAACAGAGAATTCTGGAAAGAACACAAAAAACGGAACAAAAGTATTCACATACATTGCAAATATGTACATTACCAAGGTTTCTCTAAACTCAAACGGAGAACATACTAAACTTTTTCTAGTAGGTACAGTTCATTGCTTCAGTAGGATTCTTATTATGCACACAAAAATAGAGTACTATTGTTACCTCTTTTGCTTTATTACTTAATAAAATCAAATGAAAGATACAATGATTATCCGATTGTTCAATTTCTTAATTTCTCCCCCCTGCTTTCAAAATATACATACATTGGACAAAAAACTTCTGAGTTAACTAACTAAAGAAATGCTGTAAAACTGTATTTTAAGAAAACCAGAATGAGTCCAAATGGGGCTAATTTAACTCCCATTAGGGATAATCATGAGCTTCATGCACAAAATTCCACCATTAAAAAAATGACCAGATTATCTGCCAATAATAAAATAAATTATCAGTCTTCTGAAAAAGTATATGAAACATTTTTAATGTTCTAATGGCCAATGCCTCAGTCTATAGAGAAAATGTTATCAATACTTAGAAGGTTATGTAACTATTACTACTTTTATATTTACATTAACACTACATAAATAGTCCCACATATACTGGTCACATTATGTATTATAATAATTTATAAGAAACACTTACTGGGTATATTTTTTGGATGGATGGAAGGATGGGTTCAGGTAGGGCTATAAAAAAAGAAAGTTTAAAGCTTCCATGATTCATGTAATTCATTTTACAAAACAATAATTTGTCAGCTAAGGCCCTCAGATATGAAACTATAAGGGTTTCTGCTAAAAGTCAACAGTTTCCATATATTTTGTGAAGTTAATTCTGATTCCTAAAAATTTTAATTCACAATATATCTAAGTTGGCAATTTAAGGTTTGTTAATAAACTGTGCATATTTTAATGTAAACCAATGTTCCTTATGTGGTTTTAGAATAAGCCATCAATAAATAGACACACATCATTAGATCCAACATCAGACACACAAACACACAAAATAAGCAAGACAAGAATTGTTCTACAGATATTAAATGGACATTGTTAAGATGAATGTAGCTATCAAAAAAATTTAAGTATAGTCCAATGATACAGTCCAACACGGTTCTATCACAATTATGCCTTTATTATTTAATTTCTTCTAACAAACAATAATACTACAATTAAGATAGTTTCTGGAAACTGATTTACTGAAGAAAAGAAACTGGAAAAAAAATCTTCAACTGCATTACTTAATTTTTAAAAGAAAGCCTCAGCAATTTTAGAAATCTAAATCAGATTTGAACCAACATTCTATAAATAAAATTTCATACAAAGCAATCATTATCTTCATATGCTACTATATTTTTAATTGTCATTCTTCACCCTTCAATAGTTTTACCCAAATCCAACCTCACTAAATTCATTAACAGTCATTTCACATCATTATACAGTAAATGACATTAAAGGCAAGGTTCCCAATATTCACAACATAATAAAAAACTTATAATGGTTTATGTCACAATACAAATATATTTATAGACTTCTTTAAGATTAAAGACCAATATAGTATCATATGATAAACTATGATAATTTAAGGATTAGAAATACAATGCATATAATTAAATAAACTTAGTAATAATCTTTAATTCATTTTCAACTGGCTATTTAGCAAAAACATTTTTAAATGACTTCTGGAATACATTAATATATATATAATCAACCATTATGGTCAACTTAGGTCTCCAGCTATGCTTATAAATGCATAAATTTCTACCACATAGTATTTAAATTTCCCTCCTGTATCATGCTTCATTCCCAAGTTGAAAACTGGAATAGAATACTCTGAAATGTTCACAGTGTATGACTGGAATATCAGAAAAAACTTACACATTACTTACCAAAATCACTTAGAAAACAAGGTTACATCTTCCCCAGAGGCATTCAAATGCACAAAATAGAAGACCCTACAAATAAACTCAAGCCCTAGTCACTTTAATTCTAAAAGTCTCTATATTTGTATAACGTTTTCATGGCTTTCTAATAATTGTTGTTATAATATAGAAGTTAAATTGGAAAATTTTATTAGAAGTTAGTTTTCTTAATTAAAAACCTAAATTCCTTTCCTACTGAATTCTCATAATAAATTAAAATTGTAATTTAAAGAGGATGAAGAAAAGGTTACAGAGAATATTTTTTAAGTTTATCTCATTCTAGAATCATAATTAGAATGCTAGGAGAGTAATACAAATACTAACCACTGGTTTAAGTAAGGTCTTTTAATAGACAAAGAGTAATCTGGAAGCTTTTGGGGGCAGAAATATCATTCAGTAAACCTCTGACAAACATAGATTTAAGAACACTAGTTATAACAAGCAATTAGTGTACTGTAGCAGTTATTTACTCATATATGTAGTCTATTACTGACTACTGAAACTCATTCTAGGAAGTGTTTTTAATCTTTTCAACCTTTCTACATACTGAGGACCTGTTTCCTTTATCTGTTCCTGGCAGAAAAAATATTAAAGCACTTAAGAAGTTAAAGGTAACTTAAAAGTCATCTAATCCAACTATTCATGTATCAATGAGAATATTAAGGCCAGAGAGGTAGAATAACTTAGCTAAAATCATAAACACTAGTTCATTATGGTAGACCTTGAACTGCTCAATACACCTTGCAGACTCTTGTATGAAACAAAAGCAACTACTTATTTCAATGCCTCTAATTTCTTCTAGCAAGGAATGGTTTAAATTTGCCAAAGGACAGAGTTGCTGATGTCCTTTAACGAAGACCTAGAACCTAGAAATGGTTGATGATAGTACATTAATTACAAATCAACTCAGTAAATGGAACCACTCTGTCAAGAATAAAGTATGTTTGACAATATCTAAACCAAATTTTAACATAATTTCATCACACTAGTAAAATACTATGTTTAAATTTTTAACTTCCTTACAAAATCACCTTGGGCTATCTGTGATTAAAGTACATTATTCTAAAGAAGATCATCAAATTAAAAGTATAATGTAACACACTGAGCATGAAGAAATAGGGCACATATGGATGTTCATGAATGTTAAATGCTTTAGTCAATTCAAATTTTTAAATCACCACTATAACTAAAAAATTATGAATAGACAGTAGGTGGTGATACGAGGTTTGTCATATTATTCTTTAAATTTTATTAAGAAATATTTCTAATCTCTTCAAGTTTTAATAACTGTGAATTGTACAGAGTTCACTAAAAAAGCATCAAAAGTACCCTGGCCAGTGTGGCTCTGTGGTAGAGCGTCAGCCTGGGACCAAAGTGTCAAGGGTTCAATTCCCAGTCAAGGGCATGTACCTGGTTGAGGTACATGTGGGAGCCAACCAATCAATGTGTCTCTCTCACATCAATGTTTCTCTCTCCCATCCCCCCTTCCTCTTTTCTACTGTCTCTAAAAATCAATGGAAAAAATATCCTCAGGTGAGGATTAACAACAAAAAAGCCTCAAAAGTAATTTGTGTTTTAGATTGAACTGTAAAATTGGACACAAAATGATTAGTGATATGTAAAGTAGTATTAAAACAGCTAGCTAACATCATATGTTTCAAATCCTACTAGAGGAGCAAATCAGTCATCAAATTAATGTATATCTCAAATTAGTAATAAAAATACATATATTATAATTAGCTTTTTCTGATAAGTGATTCATAAAACTTTGATCCATTTAACTATTTTGTCTCACCAAGTAAAAAAAAATCACCTGATTTCATCATTCAAATAAAAACACTCTTATTTAATATATATTCTAAAACATCTACAATTACAGTCACATATAAAGGAAACAAATCTTGCTATCCATAAGTAACCTGATAAATTTTGGCACATACCTTTTCAATATTTGTTATACATATGAATATATATACGAACTCAAATATAATTATTTTTTTTAAAATCCTCACCCTAGGATATTTTTTCCATTGATTTTTAGAGAGAATGGAAGGAAGGGGGGAATGGGAGGGGGGGGGAGGGGGAGAGAGAGAGAGAGAGAGACAGAGAGAGACAGAGAGAGACAGAGACAGAGACAGAGACATCAATTGGTTGCCTCCAGCACCAGCTCTGACCAGAGCCTGGGATCGAACCTCCAATCCAGGTATGTGGCCTTGATCAGGAACCAAACCCACAACCCTTTGGTGCACGAACCAATGCTCTAAACGCAGAGCTACACCAGCCAGGGCTAGTTACAATTTTTAAAATAAATTTGGTGTCATGTTGTATATGACTTAGTGAATCCTGAATCTTTTCTTGTATCATTAAACATCTAAAAAACATGATTTTTAGTGGCTGTGTACATTTCACATTGGGATATACTATAATTAATTTAATCATCCACATTCCTAAAAACTTAGTATATTTCTAATCTTTTACTATTTCAACAAACACTATGAAAAACAGCCTTATAAATAAATCCATGTACGCACCCCTGATTATTACTTTACGATAAATTCCTAGAAATAGAACTACTGAGTCAAAGGATAGGAACATAAATACTACAACATCACTTTCTAAACTGTGGCAATAACATTAACTCAGAACAGATCAGATCCTAGACATCCTGTTAAATGGTCTTCTATTACAATAACATAAGTTTTCACCCTATCTCCATACCAGCTCACAGGGAATAAAAGCTTCTTTGACCAACAGGAAAATAATTTCATTCCTATCTCAAGTGAAAAATAAAAAACAGGATGACTGGTATGTGAGTTTATTTTTATAGGCCTTCTAAACATTCATTCATCTGCCTCAAGAAAATGGTTCCACAATACAGGGGTGAAAAGTTCTTTGAATACAAAAGTGAATACAGAAAACTGTCAGAAAAATAAAAGCACCGTGAAACTGCTTTTTAATGCTTTCCAGGGAGTAACATTTCTAGAGCAAGTATTCAAAGCAACAAAACAGAAAATATGGTCTAATGGACCTTAGATGTAAATGTTTAAAACAATACTATTTGAAGTAGGGTCAATAGGGAAGACACTATAATAAAGTTTAGCTGCATTTCCGTTTTAAAATTTGGGGAAAATCCATAATACTTACTTTGTAAGTAGTGCAAAACCATCAATACAAGACTATAGCTGCTTAAAGTACCACGACTGGCATCATTTATATCATGGTGACTTGCCCACTTCTTAATCACCAGTACTAATGGACGAACTCGATTTTCAACTGAAAGTAAAATTAAAACTTAAAAATTGTAAGAAGACATTACAGTTTCTTTTGAAAGTTTCCATAATTTCCCAGCTCCATGCTAATAAAAAGAGTACCGCCTCCCTGTGCATTAAACAGTATTCACCATAAATGTATCTTACTTCTAAAGCAGTTACCTTTTTAAAAACTGCTAATTATTAAAATTCATCTTGTTGACCTTTAACTTTGGTAGTATATAATTTTAGTGAAGCAATATATTTTACATATAATATAATAAGACATTATACATAAAAACAAAGAGATGTCAGTATTTACTGCAAGCATCTTTAAAAAGGAAAAAAGAATGACAAATAAATGAAAAGCTGATAATTATTTGGAACTAAACAAAAACTTACGATATGCATAAGTTCGGAGAAGGAATGTGTTTCTTATTCCAACAATATTGTTTACATTCAAGTCAAATTCCACACAACTATTAAAAAAAGAAATAGAAAAACGTTAGCTCAGTACAAATTAAATTACCTCACTAGTAAATAAATGTATATCCACAAGTCCAACGATGTAAAAATAGCATGGGCCCAAAGGCCCAAGACCATAAAGTGAAGCACTAAAGAAATAAGAATGAATATGTACTCAGTATATCATTTGAATATGATTTAGTGTTTTAAAAATATAAAATGAGATTACTGTTGAAAAGATTCATAATACATTGGTAAGACTCCAATTATCCTTTAACAGAAGAAATTTAAAGTTTTGCAATCCAATCTTTTTCAGACAAAAAGAAAATGTGACCAAAAACATTTCTAGACAAGTTATCCCACTAAGTTATACACTCTCAACTAATTTGAAATTACAGCATCATTTGAGGCCTGCTCCCCGCTGGCAAGTGGACATCCCCCGAGGGCTCCTGGGCTGCCAGAGGGATGTCTGACTGCCAGCTTAGCCCCAATCCACCGGGGAGCAGTTCTAAGCCAGCAGGTGGTCATCCCCTGAGGAGTCCCAGACTGCGAGAGGGCACAGGCCAGGCTGAGGGACACCCCTCCCCCCCCAGTGCACAAATTTTTGTGCACTGGGCCTCTAGTTAACAATAGAGCAGATGAAGCAGAGGATTAAATCAAAGATTGGGAAGATAAGCAAACAAACAACACCCAATCAGAATAGGAAAAAGAAAAAAGAACCCAAAGTGAGGATAGCAGGAGCCTCTAGGTCAGCTGTGGGCAAACTACGGCCCGTGGGCCGGATCCGGCCCGTTTGAAATGAATAAAACTAAAAAAAAAAAAAAAAAAAAGACCGTACCCTTTTATGTAATGATGTTTACTTTGAATTTATATTAGTTCACACAAACACTCCATCCATGCTTTTGTTCCAGCCCTCCGGTCCAGTTTAAGAACCCACTGTGGCCCTCGAGTCAAAAAGTTTGCCCACCCCTGCGAGTCTAGGACAACTTCAAGTGTACCAACATTCGTATCATGTGGATACCAGAAGAAGAGAGCAAGAAATTGAAAACCTATTTGAAAAAATAATGACAGAAAAATTCCCTAACATGAAGGAAAATAGACACAAGTTCAGGAAGCACAGAGTCCCAAACAAGAAGAACCCAAAGAGGCCCACACCAAAGCACATCATAATTAAAGGGCAAAAGGTTAAAAAACAGAGAATCTTAAAAGCAGCAAGAGAAAAGCAGTTATTTACATACGAGGGCGCTCCCATAAGACTGTCAGTTGATTTCTCAACAGTAACTATGCAGGCCAGAAGGGACTGGCAAGAAATATTCTAAGTGATGAAAAGCAAGGACCTACAACCAACATTACTCTACCCAGAAAAGCTATAATTTAGAATTGAAGGACAGATAAGATAAAGAGCTTCTCAGACAAGAAAAAGCTAAAGGAGTTCACTACCAAACCAGTATGACATGAAATGTTAAAGGGTCTTCTCTAAGGAGAAGAAAACAAAAGATAAAAAATATGAACAAAATGGCAATAAGTACATCTCTATCAATAAATGAATCTAAAAAAACAAAATAAACAAGAACAGAAACAGACTCACATATAAAAAGAACATTTTGACAACTGCCAGATGGGAGGGGGCTTTGGGGAATGGGTGAAAAGGGTGGAGGGATTAGGAAGTACAAATTTGTTGTTACAGAATAGTCATGGGGGATGTCAATAGTCATGGGGAATATAGTCAATAAAATTCTAATAACTATGTGTGGTGTCAGATGGGTGTGAGTTGTACTGGGGTGATCACTTAGTAAGTTATATAATGTCTAGTCATTGGAGTATACACCTGAAACTAATATAACAACATATGTCAACAGTTATTGAAAAAACATTTTTAAAACATTTTTTTAATTTTTTAAAGTTTTAACCCTCTAAAAAAAAAAAAAGTTTTTCCATGAAAACACTGCCTAAAATAAAAACTTAACAACTTTACTTCCTATAGCTTTTAATCATAAAACTTAAAATCTACCCTTTCAGATTTTCTTGTTTTAGGGAAAGAAATCTTATAATTTTTCAATTATCCATGCATACTAATACAAACAGATAGTATTATTAACAGTTTAGATATCACATACATATTTGGCTTTGGGAAACATGGTAACAATGGATTTATATTCTTCAATTGTGTTTGTGCAAATCTAACAATGAAACCTGTTTTCACTTCTTCTCTATAACTAGGGTAAAACACATAGATGGACACTAGTCTAAAATTAAAAACTTTTCAAAAATATGAATGCTTTACAAATATTCATAGCAACTGCTTCAACTTCTACTTCTGGAAATACTAAAGTTAATCCTTCTTATGGAAAATAATTTATGCACAAAATGCTTATTCTAACAAGTTAATGACAATACATTCACTCAATGAAATACAGAAACTCACTAAAAATGAAGCCAGAAAATATTCAATGATATAAACAGTGTTCATGATATTTGGTTAAGTAAAAACCTATGGGCTCAACTTTAGCTTTAAAAGCTCATGCATTCATTTGCATAGTAAGGGACTGAAAGGTTTACATCAAAACGTTAACATCAGTTATCTCTGGTTGTCAGAAGTGGAGGGTTATTTTTACTAGTTTGTATAGAGAAAAATTATAAAATGGAGTTATTAAAAATAAAAAGTTTGTATAATAATCTTAAATAGAAAAAGTATAGAATTGTTTATATAACCACGTATTTTTTTAAATGTATTTAGCTAATGTTCATTTATGTTTAGTTTGTTTTATCTCCCTATATCTTTGTGCTTTATACTTTATTTCCTTGATAAAAATCAATACAGAGTTATAGAGTGGATGTTTTGATGAATGAAGGGGAAGGTTTGAGACAGGCATACAAGTAAAATTTTGTTTAAAATATATATATATATTTAAAATATATATATTTTAAAAATATATTTTTTATTTAAATATATATTTATTTAAAATACGTATTTTTTTATTTATATAAAAAATATATAAAATGTGTGTGTGTGTGTGTGTGTGTGTACTAGAGGCCCGGTGCACAAAAATTTGTGCACTCGGGGGGGAGGGGGGTCCCTCAGCCTGGCCTGTGCCCTCTCGCAGTCTGGGACCCCTCGGGAGATAACGACCTGCTGGCTCAGGCCTGCTCCCGGGTGGCAGAGGGCAGGCCCAATCCCTAGGTGCAGCCCCTGGTCGGGCTCAGAGCAGGGCCGATTGGGGAATTGGGGCGCCGCCCCCTGTCATGCACAGAGCAGGGCGGATCTGGAGGTTGCGATGCCACCCTCAGTCACGTTCAGGGTAGGGCCAATTGGGGGGTTGGGGCACTGCCCCCTGTCACACTCAAGGCAGGGTCGATGGGGAGGTTGCGGTGCCACCTCGTCACGCACAGAGCAGGGCCAATCAGGGGGTTGGGGCACTGCCCCCCGTCACGCACAGAGCAGGGCCCATCAGGGGGTTGGGGAGCTCCCCCCTGTCACACACAGAGCAGGGCCCATCAGGGGGTTGGGGAGCTCCCCCCTGTCATGCACAGAGCAGGGCCCATCAGGGGGTTGGGGAGCTCCCCGTCACGCACAGAGCAGGGCGGATCAGGGGGTTTGGGCGCTGCCCCGTCACGCTGATCTCGGTGCCTGGAGGCCTCTCAGCTCCGCTGATCCCGGTCCTGGGAGGCATATTACCCTTTTACTATATAGAATAGAGGCCTGGTACATGGGTGGGGGCCAGCTGGTTTGCCCTGAAGGGTGTCCTGGATCAGGGTGGGGGTCCCCACTGGGGTGCCTGGCCAATCTGGGTGAGGGACTGAGGGCTGTTTTCAGGCTGGGACTGAAGCTCCCAACTGCTCCTTTTTTTCCTTTTTTTTAATTCTGAGCCAGCTTTAGCTCTGAGGCTCCAGCTCTTAGGTCTCTGCTCCTGAAAGCAGGTATCTGGTTTGTTTAGGTTCTACAATCGAAACTGTATCAACTCCAGGTCTGAGATCCCGGCTAGCTGAAAGCTGGTTTCTGGGGTTTTGTTTAGCTTCTATTTTTGTAGCTATGTTTCAAACTGCCAGCTCAGAGGCCTGCAGCAGCAGATGGGGAAATTTGGAGTCCTCCATCACTGAAGCAAGCAAGCCTCATGTTAGTTTCAAGCTGCCTGGCTGCCGGCCGCCATCTTGGCTGGCAGTTAATTTGCATATCGCCCTGATTAGCCAATGGGAAGGGTAGTGGTCGTACACCAATTACCATGTTTCTCTTTTATTAGATAGGATTCAGTCCATTCAGATTTTACTCACAGTAGTTATGTTCTATAAAGTCATTGCAAACAGCAAATTAGTGACTACTAAACCATTACTCCTAGGGAAATAAAGTCATGTTTCCACAAGCCTTCAGTCACATTTTCATCAACTGATCAATATGTAACTAATTTCTATGTGCATTTCTGTTTAAAGACACCTTATTTAATAAGTTGTTGATTCACTCACAGTGAACTCACAGACAAGAGCATTATAACTCATGCCTGAACAAAGCATATCTAACACATGCATTTTGCCCATGAGGACAATCACAGCTTTGTACATAGAAACACTATACATGGGGCCATTTTAAGCAGCAAATCCACTTACAAAAAGCACAAAAAAGTAAAAAACATGGCACTAACTAGACTGTAAAAAGGACAGTTATGAAAGCTGAAACAAGAAGGCAAAGTATCGTATTGTTTAACCTCAGCTAGGAATGTGCGCACTGGGTGACTCAAAATTTTCCAAACTTGCACATGTCTATGAATGACCATGAAAGTGGTAAAAGAATTAATTTAGGGGAATGAGGGATTACAAAATAAATTTCATCAAGAATATTTCGCAAATATGGAATCCATGACTAATGAAGATCAGCTGTGTATATACTTACACTTAAATTTCAATGTTATTTTTATAAAACTGAGCTAGAAAAACCTGACATCAGAATCCTATCTATTTTTCAGAAAACAACAAATCATTTTTTAATCAAGGAAAGAGTCAACATCTAATATTTACATTTCAGTCAGATATTATCTAAAAGAGTCTAATTCCAATACCCATAAGAAATTCAGAACCCAGGCAAGTAGAATATACAGATTTACAACAACCCCTTTGACACATAAAATTTCATCAACTAAGATATTTTCTTAATACATTAATTACATTTCCAAAAGGCAAGTGATCATTTAAAAAAATCTGAAATATAAATATGCATGCATTCTTTAAATTCGGTAGTCTCAAATACTCAAAATTTGAAGAAGAATAACTACATAGTTAACAATGAAAAATTGGTGAGACCGTTTTCAAAAATTATTTCAAAGTAAGTGAATTTCAAAAACTAATGAAGAAAAAAAAAAACTAACGAAGACAAGCTATTACATTATAGTACACATTTCTTAATTATCTACATCAAAAGGATATCTAAAAATTATTTAAAGCAACTGAAAAAAAGGGAATTAGGTAATTACTACCTGACTTTATCCCTGAACTTCACAATTGGCACTTTTGCTCGAATCAGCTGAGGTCTCTCAATGTAGCCAGCTAAAGGATAAAAGATGTCAATATCTGCAAATACTTATCAAATTCATAGTGTACCAATGTATAATTTTTTAAAAATAGTATTTTACTAAGCTAAGATCATTTAAGAAAACATAGTCTTTGAGAAAGAAAGCAAAGAAAGGACATTAAAGAATTCTTCTAAGAATGGAATTTCTAATACCATTTTAAGGGCTTTATATTCAAGTTATTTTCAGAAATATGATCCAATGTTCAACAACATTGATAACGAAGTTCATCAGAGCATTTTAAACATGAAAAATATCTAAGTTAGCAGCAGTGGGATGGCTAAATTCTGGTCCAGCACATGGCAAGATGTTATGGCAGTCATAACATATGTACAGAATCTTAAATGTGGAAATGCTTGCAACGTGACACATGGAATGGTGACACATTCAAATAAGTATGATCTCTAAGGGGAGAAACACATTATCTACATATTTTTTACTCCATCAAAGTTTAAAAGAATTTTTTTCCTGAGTTCAAAGTAATATGTTATTCATTATAGAAATTTGGGGAAATACAGAAATGCATAAATAAGAAACTCTGCAAACTTTCCCAAATGAGCAATTTCCTAATGTTTTAACTAAAGAAAATGTAACACCCGATTTTTTAAAAACAAAAAATTTCTGTGCCCAGGCTGGTGTGGCTCAGCCGGTTGGCATTGTCCTGTGCACCAAAAAGTTGCCTGTTTGATTCCAATCAGGGCACGTGCAGGCTCGATCCCAGGTAGGAGGCGTGCAGGAGGCCGCTGATAGATGTTTTGCTCTCTAGTCGATCTTTCTCTCTCCCTCTCTTTCCTTTCTCTCTAAGAAGCAATAAAAATATTTTTATAAAAAATGTTATAATGCTTTATCACCAAAATCATAAAATATATTAAGCTTCAAATAGAATTTATATGTAAGAATTCAGTGACATTTAGTGAAAAATAAGGACTTAAAAGTTTCAAGGTCCAAGTAAAAGTTCTAATACCAACAAAAACCAACTATACTCCTGCAAGTTACTGATCCCATGATCACCAGTCTTCTTAATTATTAAAAGCCATAAAAAGGAAAAGAAAAAGAAAACTTTCATTTGAGTTAGATGATCTCTAAGTTCCCTTCCATATTTAATATTTATCATTCTAATCCTATTAAAAATAACATTGACCATCAGCAATTCTGCTTTCTGTTGGAGTAATTTATTTGGGCTTCATGTTCAATGATCATATTTTTAAAATCTGATGTCATAAATTCCATGTCATTGCAAAACAGATGAAATTCTCTCCCTCACCTAAATAAGACTTTATCTGCATCACTCTTACGTCTTTATAGATATTTTGCATTACTGCTATTTATAGTCCATGCCTCAGCTTCCCTAACAATCTATAACCTTTTGAGAAAAAGAACTGAAGCTTGTATATCTGAGTTTTCCACTGCATCAGTGATATTTGTAAGTGAATTCAATGAAGAATTGTTGAATAAATGGTTACTCTTCTTAATAAAAACTAAAAGGGAATTCATTTGGAAAGAAGGATCCACATAATACCTATCCTGACCAGAAAATAAACAATTCTTACCAGAAAATAAAGTGAGAGACATTTTAAGTAAATAGTTAATGTCAGATGACATATGAACTTGAGGCATATTCGACTTACAAAGTCTAGTACAGAAGTGTTTATGGACTAAGGTGAGTATATGCCGTGCTTCAGTCTTCTGATTTACCTGAAAAAAACACTGAAAAGTTAAAAATAAAGTGTTTTTTCATTATCTTTCTTAATTTAGTCTTTTATTTTCTTAATGTATTTCAACAAAGAGAAAGCATATAAAGTATACTTTTCTTTGGAGTTACTTTTCTTTTTTTTTTCTTTTTCTTTTTTTTGGAGTTACTTTTCAATATAGACTAAATTGCATCATAGGAAAAGTCAAAGTTTATGTTGTCTTTCACATCACAATTTCTAAGTCAATTCCTGATTTTAAACTTAATGGAAAATTTTAAAAGAAATATTGAAAGAGACATATATGCCATGTTTTCCTTTAGTATAAATGTACAAAAAGTAATGTTCTTCAAGAAAAATAAACCTAATTTTAACTTTTTATAATATGTTTTTATTTCCCCATAATAGATTAAGGGTAAGGTTCAAATCTATGGTGTCTCAGTACAAGCTGTGTCATGATTTAGACATGTGACTAAGACTGAAAGGTTAGTGGGATGTATCTGAGTATAGTATAATTACATGAGAGAAAGTGTTAAAACTCTAGTGTAGTCCACTACATTTATTATTTGAGTTTTTTTTAAGTTTCCTTTGTATGATTTCAAAGCCTAAAATAAAGTTTCTTTCCTGAAATAAATCTTTTTCTGATTTGCAGTAACTAGAAGCCAATTTTATTAGTGGAATAATAGGAATATAGTTAAAATATATATTACCATTCAATAGATTTTTCTTGTCTTTTTAAAGAGGTAGACTATAATGAGGCCTTTTAAATTATACTGAAATTAATTTAATCCTCGATAATTCCGAAAGGATCTCAGCATATTAAAGAGGCTGCTTCAGGTTAGCAATTACTGTTGTATTAAGGATACACAAGAGTATTAGTTAAAAGGAAATTCAAATAAACCTAATACTAAATAACAAAATTTAATAAAAATAAAGGAAACAAAGCCAAAATATCAGAAGAAATATATCAAAATAGCTTTATTTTAAATTTCAGTGAAACCACTTTTTTTGTATTCCCCAATGAGAACTCCAAACCCCATTGCATTTTCAAGGTAGTAAAAAAAAGATTAAAAATAGAACCACTGAAAACTCATATGGAAAGAAAATATATCAAGAAGATAATACTGCTCTAGCTGGTTTGGTCAGTGGATAGAGCATCAGACTGTGGACTGAAGGGTCCCAGGTTCCATTCTGGTCAAGGGCTCATGCCTGGGTTGTGAGCTCGATCCCCAGTAGGGGGTGTGCAGGAGGCAGCCAATCAATGATTCCCTCTCATTATTGATGTTTCTATCTCTCTCTCCCTCTACCTTCCTCTCTATGAAATCAATAAAAATATATTTTAAAAAAAGAGAAAATACTGACATATGCTCTTCTTTGCTGCATCCCAGGAACATATCTAACCCAATAATTATTCAAAAGAGGCAGAGCTCTTTTGAAAGAGTGAAGCCATCTCACTTTAACAACTTAAAAATAAATTAATGCTAAAATTCCTGTTATGCTTATTGTACAAACACCTTAAGAGAAAAAGTAGTATTTCTTGGGTTTCCTTTAATTACTATAAACAAAGAATCCAAAGAAGTAATTAAAATAAAACAAATTATTTTCCTCAACGACTTTTGTATAAAATTTCTTAAATGACTTAATATGAGAATAAATGTTTCTTTACTTACTGGTTCGTCTTTAACAACTAGACATAAATCACCATCACTGCTCCGGGTACCAAATCCATTTAAAGAGGACCCAACCAAAAAAAGTCTGCTTTCTAGAGAAACAGAAGAGAATTATAAGGTATTATTTCTAATTTAAAACAGAAATTCATATACATAATGGGCATGAAAAACAGGGAAACATACGTGGAAATAATAGCTGAATTTCTCTCTGCAGTTGTGCTCTACAAAGTTCTTTCTTCTTTAAATCACTTACTTGCTGCTGACATGCTTCAAATAACTCCAGGATCTGCTGACTCAACTTTAATCCACCACAAAAAAAGTAAAAACATTTGTTCAGAAATGTATAACTACCACAGTGAGAAGTGTAAAACAATACTACCAACAGTATTTTAAAAATGAATACATATTCTCTCCTTAACACTTTACAATAAAAACTACTGTTACCTAAATAACAATGGTTACTTAGTAACTGAAATAATTACTAACTGTTAAAAGGTAAAGTATCACAAGTCACAGAAAAGCATAGTCACAGATAATTCATAATAAGTATAATCCATGGGTCTGCTGACTCCAAACTTTGGTTGCTGTTTTTGGATGGCACATGAGCTAAGAATAGTATTTTTTTGTTTTATTTTGGGGGAGATATATATATTATTGATTTCAGATAGAAAGGGAGAGGGAGAAAGAGATAGAAACCTCAATGATGAGAGAGAATCATTGATTGGCTGCCTCCTGCACGCCTCACACTGGGATCAAGCCCACAACCCGTGCATGTTCCTTGACCAAGAACAGGACATACAGAAAAACTAGGTTGGGGAAAACACTCTGAATCTATAAGGTCTCATAAAAAATTTACTGAAATATAATAATAAAAGTACATTAAAAAAAGAAAGTAAAAAGACAAACCACAGAATGAGAGACTATATCTGCAAATCAAATATCTGATAAGGGTCTAGTATTCATAATATATAAAGAAATCTTAAAACTCAAAAAGAGCCCAACCAGTGTGGCTCAGTGGTTGAGCATCGACCCATGAACCAAGAGGTCACTGGTTCGATTCCTAATCAGGGCACATGCAGGGGTAGTGAGCTCAGTAAGGGGCATGAAGGAAGCAGCTGATCAATATTTCTCTTTCATCTATATTTCTATCTCCTTATCCCTCTCTCTATAAAACATATTTATAAAAAAACAAAAAGAGAATAAACCCCATTAAAAAATAGGCAAAGGATCTGAATAGGCAGTTCTCCAAAGAAGATAAACATATGGCCAACATGCAAATGAAAAGATGATAAGCCCAACCAATGTGATTCAGTGGTTGAGTGTCAACCCATGCACCAAGAGGTCCACCAGTTTGATTCCCAGTCAGGGCACATGCCCAGGTTTTGGACTCCACCCCCAATAAGGGGCATGCAGGAGGCAGCCAACCGATGTTTCTCTCTCATCGATGTTTCTATCTATCTCTCCCTCTCTCTTCCTCTAATATCAATAAAAACATATTTTAATCAAAAACAAAAAATTATCAACATCATTAATCATTAGGAAATCAAATAAAAATTCCAATGAGATATCATTTCACAACCACTTGAATGGCTATATTAAAAAAGATAGACAACAGCAACTGTTGACAAGAAAGTGGAGAAATTGGAAAGCTCATCCACTGCTAGTGGGAATGTAAAATGGTGCAACCACTTCAGAAAACACTTTGTCAGTTCCTCAGAAAGTTATACATAATTTCCATATAACACAGCATTTTCACTTCTAGGTATTTACTCAAGAGAAATGAAAATATGTCCACACAAAAACCTGTACACAGATTTTCATAGCAGCATTATTCAGAATAGCTTAAAAATGGAAACAGGTCAAAAGTCTATCAACTGAGGATTGCATAAATAAAATATGATATATCTATACAATGGATTATTATTCAGCTACAAAAAAGAATAAAGAACTGATACATGCTGTGTGACCTGGATGAACCTTGAAAACATGCTAAGTTAAAGAAGTAGAACCACATATAGTATGATTCCATTTATATGGAATTTCCAGAACAGGCAAATCCACAAAGATTAAAAAAAAACACACACACAAAAAAAATTGACTAATGGTTGCCAGGGGCTAAAGAGAGGGGACTGCTACTGGAATACATGATTTCTTTTGGGAGTGATGAAAACGTACTATCTAGTGGTGATGGTTTCATAACTCCGTGAATATACTAAAAACCAATGAATCATACACTTGTTTAAAGAGTGAATTTTATGTACAACTTTATCTCAATTGTACATAAAAGAATTAATACAAAGTAGCACAACTAAGGAATGAAGCAAGTGTTCCTTTTTTGACTCAACATTTTCTGTACACTTACTATGTTCCAGGCTATGCTGGTTGCTAGAAACCCAAGATGAGTAATACAAAGTCACTATACTCTCTTCAGGCTCATTCTCCTTAGTATACAAATGTCATATTTTTCAAGAGTGAAGCAGCTTTTAAAATGCAAAAACAGCAAATATAAGCCATAGGCAATCCAAGAGGATGCAGATAGTGTCATTTTCTAAGAATTAGTATTTAAATAGCTTAATTCTATTTATGTGAAATGTGTTTTTTACAAATAATGTTTCTAAAAAATCTTTCTTGATTTGAATGTATTATTTCCTATTACTCCTGGATTCTCTATATTTGACGTTCAAAAACCTCACGACAAACACAAATATCCCAAAAGAGCATGCTTTTTAATACTTTATTAAAATATCCATATGAAAACTTGTTTTTCTGTCAATAAGTAACAAGAGTTCTCTAAACTAAGAACTCAAATGATTTGGCTCTAATCACAGATTCTTATGAAATAGAGAATCTCTCATTTCCTAATATGAAATTTGCATTTCCAAGGAAAAAAAAAGCAAAGTGTCAAATTTCAACAGAAAACTCTGTGGAACAGTACTTTAAACAGTGCAAAAAAGGCATGTTCTACTCAATCCAAGACAATAGATATTTTTTATACTTTTAATACATTATTTATATTCACTTCCCAAAATGTAAAACTAAAATCTACATAATTACCTTATCTTTGGCCTCAGGCAGTGTGATTTCTCTAGGTTCTAAAATTGGTATTTCTCGAAAAGGTGGAACACATCTGACTATATCTGGTACATAGTTTGTATGAAACAACGGAGGCATTGAGTATCTTCTATCACCTGATAAAGGCACTAGGTGGTTAAGTATAGTTGGCTCTTGGTGGGGTGAATGGAAACGTTGTCGTTTACCGTCAAGAGGAAGGTTTTTTTCATCGCTTAATCTCCTGAAAACAAGCAATATACCTTAGTAATTACAGGTATAACTTTCTGATAACAAATAGAAAACAATTAAGAATATAAAAATAGCCGAAACCGGTTTGGCTCAGTGGATAGAGCGTCGGCCTGCGGACTGAAGGGTCCCGGGTTCGATTCCGGTCAAGGGCATGTACCTGGGTTGCGGGCACATCCCCAGTGGGAGATGTGCAGGAGGCAGCTGATCGATGTTTCTCTCTCATCGATGTTTCTAACTCTCTATCTCTCTCCCTTCCTCTCTGTAAAAAATCAATAAAATATATTTTAAAAAAAAAAGAATATAAAAATAACATGACAATATTGACATTTTCAGCAAGTCCACAATATTAGCTCTATGTGAATCTTAAAATATCCATCTTCAGCACCAAAGATGCAATAGATAAACAGCTTGTGGGAAAAATACGTATAAAAAAACAAACTACATATATAGGGTGTCCCCAAAAAATGTATACACACACTTTGAATAATTATAAAGGCAATGTTTATTAAAATACATTTCATTTTCAAAATTGAGCTATCAGCTGTTAAAGCATGTATACATTTTTGAGGGGACAGCCTGTATACAAAGGTTAGTCTCCTACTTTTGAACTGCCCCAATATTTCATCTCAGGAGTGAAAACTTTGTAGGAAAGTTTCTACTAGTATTTATAGAACCACTAACAACAAAAGATCCAAACTCTAACATGAAGAGAATAAATTAAGTGAACTGAATGTTATAAATTTTAAAAAGGCTCTTTGAGTCCACCTATGTTCTTACTCATCAGTAGGAAAAACTAAATTAAAAGATACTTTTTTAAAAAAGCCGTAAGACATCGAAAAAGGAAATTTGAAAATGACTGACATTTTAGATAACATTGCTAGTATATTACTGTTAAATTTCTTGGATGTGAACAATGTATTTTTGGTTATTTAGGAGAATATCCTTGTTTTTAGGAGGAATGAACTGATATGTATTGGGGTAAAGTGAAATGATGTCAACAACTTATTTACATATGGTTCAGGAAAAAAATGTGGGTATAGGGAAAGAAAGAGGCAGAAAAAATAAACAATATAGCAAAACTTTAATTGGTGAATTTAGGTTAATAGAATACAGGTGTCATTTGTTACTCTTTTTTAAAAAATGTTTTTTTATTGATTTCAGAGAGGAAGGGAAAGGAAGAAAGAGATAGGAATATCAATGATGAAAGAGAATCATCAATCGCCTGCCTTCTGCACACCCCCTACTTGGGATCAAGCCCATAACCCAGGCATATCCCTTGACCAGGAATCAAACCGGTTACTTCGTTTCCTGGGTCGACGCTCAACTACTGAGACACACGTGGCTGGGCCATTTATTCTTTAAATTTTCCTGGAGGCTTAAAAATTTTCAAAATAAAAGGCAAGGAAAAAAATCATTAGAAAGTAATTATTTATTGTAAAATAAAGGAATTTACTTCATTGATATATTAAGTTGTTCATGTAGATAATACTTTATGCCATAGGAAATGGTCCAATTCCTTTTAAGCTGTAAAATTCTACCAGTCATAGAAATCTGAAGGTTTTTATTGTAATACTCCTTTGGGATTATCCCAATTCTCCTTGACAGACTTGGAACTCCTATACCTGTTCACTAAAAGTGAACAGTGCTAAAAACGTAAGAAATATATTTAATATTTTTTAAACATTAAAAGTAATTTAGAGCAGCGGTTGCCAACCTTTTGGACCTCAAGGACCACCAGTGGTCCGTGGACCACCGGTTGGCAACCGCTGATTTAGAGCTTTATATTTTAAATATCTTCTACTGAGAATGCCAATTTAGTTTTTAAAATATGTGTAACTATGAATTAATGGAATTTATTTTCATTCATAATTCACAAATTGGCTATCAAGGCAAATTTCCAAAAATTAAAAATCTGAATAAAGTCAGTACTTTTAGCCTCATTATATAGCTTTCCACATGACAACTGTGAAGAACAACTCAGTGCAGCTAAGCAAAGGATCTAGAGCCAGACCTCCTGGGTTCATACCAGTTATGCCAATCTTATTTGAATAACTAATTGCTTAACTTCTGTGTGCTTCAGCTTTCTCCTCAACAGAAGAGGTATAATAGTACCTATTTCATAAAGTGCTGTGAAATTTAATCAAATTATTATTTGTAAAGTCCTTAGAACAATGCCTACTACATAATGTGATCAGTAATTCTTAGGTAGTGTTGTTTTTACCTGGACACAAAAATTATAACATCTTTTATATGTTTTAAATAGCAATATCTTTTAAATATTGCCAAATCATATTTTTATAATCTATCTCTAAAGCTCTATTATAATTACATTGATACATTAATCTCATTTAATCAAACTGGTTAAAATTAATTGGCTTGAACTTCTCTATAGAAAGCTTTATGTCATGTAGAAATTTTCATTATAACAACATTTATCATAGAACCTTACCTGTATAAGATTTAGATAAGCCAAAAAGCAGTAAACTTTAGAAATAAGGTGATATGGGCTGAATTGTGTCTCCCTCAAAACTCAGATGTTTAAGCCCTAACCCCCAATATCTCAAAATGTGACTGTATTTAGACATAGAGCCTTTAAAAAAGTTAAAATGAGTCATTAGGGTAGGTCCTAATCCAATAAGACTAATGTCCTTAGAAGAAGAGATTAGAACACAGAAAACCCGGACACAGGGATGACCATGGGAGGACACAGAGAGAAGGGAGCCATCCTCACGCCAAGAAGGAAAGCCTCAGACTAAGCCAAACCTGCCAACACCTTGATCTTGGAATTCTAGCCTCCAGAATTATGAGAAAATAAACTTCTGTTGATTAAGCCACCCAGTCTTATACTTTGTTATGGCAGCCCTAGCATATAATACAGAAAGCCATCTGATTTAGTTAAAAATCAATTAAAAGTAGTTTTCTGAAGAAATATAGCTTCATGCCATGTAAAACTTATGACAGAAATAATTCAACAAAGGATCCCTAAAATTCTTTAAATACTACACAGAAGTTTTAAAATTCTGTGACAGGACTGATCACACAGATCCCAGGGGGGAAAAAAATTTAGGGCATATTGTCCATACAATTTTAATAAAATGTACATTATTACACAGTTCTAAGAAATGCAAAATTTTCTTTTAAAATAAAGATATACTTACTTCCTTCCTCGAAACAATGGGGAAATTGGACTGACATTTCCATATGTCAAGTGCTGTAATGACACAGCTCTAGATAAGCTACCAAAAACAAAAAACAGTAGTAATAAACATTTTATTCCTTAAAAAACAATTTCAGAAAAAATTATTTCATTGATCAAAAGAAAACAAGTCATAATGACATTTTGTCTAATTTCAAATGTTTCATATAAAAAGGGTTTGCATCAAGTAGAAAACATAATTTACAAATGATATGGGCCAAAGTATTACCATACTTACTCTGCATTCTGAAAGTTGAACTGTGCATCTATAAGCTGCTGGTGTGAATAAAGAGTTGGTGATAGGGCAAAGAAGTTATGTTGTTGATGGTTTGGAGTGAAAGGTGGGCGACCCAAAATTGAGTTTGGGAACATGCTCTTGTTCACTAAAAGTGAACATGTATTCTTCCACCTAGAATAGTTTTAAAAGGCAAATTATTATAGCTTAAAGTTACTGAACTCTTTCATAACTAGTATCCGCTATTTAAAACAATTAGTACCAAGTTTTAAATTTCATTTGCAAACTTATTTTTAAAAGTTTAACAGATCTTTTAAGTTATATTATACGTAACAAAACTTACTAATTAATTTTAAATCTACATTATCCATGGAATTATTCAAATGATAGTACAATATATGTTTCAAATTTTCTGATATACCCTAATAAATTTACCCTAATATCAATAAATATTTTAGAAATCAAGTTATTACCACATACTCTAATAAAAAGAAACTACCTAAGAAAAACATTTAGTGAAACTCTAGATTCTTATAATTATTCCCATTATATCTTATGTAAAGGTATAAGCCATCATGCAACAATCTGACTCCTATGACTGAGATATTATGGATCTGATTAAACAAGGGAAGGAGCCGAAACCGGTTTGGCTCAGTGGATAGAGCGTCGGCCTGCGGACTGAAAGGTCTCAGGTTCGATTCCGGTCAAGGGCATGTACCTGGGTTGCGGGCATATTCCCAGTAGGAGATGTGCAGGAGGCAGCTGATCGATGTTTCTCTCTCATCGATGTTTCTAACTATCTCTCTCCCTTCCTCTCTGTAAAAAAATCAATAAAATATATTTTAAAAAATAAAATAAAATAAAAAAATAAACAAGGGAAGGAATTTGCATTGCCTAATAACTATTTATAAAATTGTGAGGTTTTCTTTAAAGTCTAAATAGCGTATATAAAGGACTTCCAATATAAGAGGGCTTGTTCCACAAGAATAAGGAAAACGTGTATACAAAGAAATCAGAACCTTTCACTGACCCAGGCAGGACTAGATATTTATTTTTTTGCAATGAATGATCCTGAGGCTGCAAACTTACAAAGATTAGGGTATGGTAACAAACTCAAAATAAGTATTAAGTGAAGTCTACAAAGTGAAAAGAATCCTCAGCCCACCTTCGTAAAGCAGGAAATTAGAAAACTCATCTATAGAATAACTGAGAAAGAAAAGAGACACATATAAAATAATAACCAGAAAACCTATATAACATAGTAACAGTTTTCCACCAAAGAGAAATTAAGCCAGCTAACAAATACAATGAAGCCTACTATTGAATTGCCCACCATCCCCACAGAGCTTCTAATTAGATTTCTAATAGCTCTCACTTAAAGTAGACATCATGGACTGTCAGAAAGAAAAAAAAAATCTGAGAATAAACAGAAATAATACCAAGAACAAATGAAAACTCAATTAAAAAAAAAACAAAACACAAGTAATGAAAAAAACATTGCATATACAAAACAAGAGTATACTGCTTAAAAACAGAAAGGGCTCTTGAAAATTACAAAACTGAAAGCCAAAATTCCAACAGAGAATTAAAATATTGGGGAAATCTCTTAGAAGGAACAAAAAGGAAAAACTGATGCGGGCAGAAGGGAAGCAGGAAATAGTAGAGAAAATAGAAAAGAATCAAACTATGTGGTCCAACATCCAACATAACAGAAGCTCCAGGAAAAACAGAGAAATTACCAAGTAAGTAAAAAAGAAAATTTCCAATTCTGAAGAACACCAATCCTTACATTAAAGGACCCAATGAGTACAAAGCACAGTTTAAAAAAAGAAATGAATATCAAGGCATACTATGGTGAAATTTCAGAATATCAGGAAAAAGAAGCTCATAAAATGTTACAGCGAAAAATGTTATAAACAAAGGGCTGGTAATCAAAATGGCTTTAAAGCAACAGTAGAAACCACAAGACAATGAAGTCAATGCCTTCAAATTTCTGAAGAAAATGCTCTCAAGCTATAATTTTATACCCAGCTACACCACCAATGCAAGGGAAAATAAAAACATGTTTAGACATGGAAGGTATTAAAAAAGAAAACCTGGGAATTAAGAAAAAGAAGGTCCAACACAGCGCAGAGACAAAGTAAATTACCCAGGATGATGGTAAAGGGAAGCTAACAGCTTAAATTAGAGCAGGACAGAGGGCTTTAAGATATCCAAGGAGAAAAAAAAAGTTAACTTATAGGTTACCTAATGTATCTGACCATAGAGAGCAATTCTTCTGGAAGAGCAGAAATAATTACAAGAAAAGAAAAGCAGCAAGTTCAAAATAAATTACTAAACTACAGAAAAAACACACTCAATGGGTTATATAAAAAAGTAAATATAATTAGTTAACCTACTTGGTTCTTACAATAAGGCAAACATTGAAAACACAGAGATAGTAATATACTTACATCACTTACTACATATTATATTTAAAGATCACATATATTCATATATTATTATACAATATACATCACAATTTATGATGAGAGTACAGAAAGGTACTAAATCTTCATTTTCAGCAGATGTCAATCCAAAGAATGACCTATAAAAGTTTTTTAGAGCATAAGAAAAGAACACTTAAGCAGCTACAAAAAAATGGTAGTTGCTTCTGGGGTTTGATACCAGATGGTTGGAAAAACTGGTGCAGGAGACAACAGAAGAGAAAAAGAGAATGATCTGCAAAAAAATAAATCGCTCATACAAACTTTGTCCCCTTTTTTTTTTTAATTCTGAAAGATTAAAATTCCCCAAACTGGCCACATATAGTGAAATTTACCAGTTCAGATTCAAAAAGATTTTGTTTTTTGCTTTTATATCTTCACCCAAGGATATATTTTTTCAATTGACTTCAGAGAGAGCGAGAAACCTTAATTCGAGAGAGAATCGTGGATGTGTCATCTCTGGCATGCATCCCAACTGGGGATCAACCCGAAAGCTAGGTTTATGTGCCCCGGTGGGGAATAGAACCTGCAGCCTTTGGTATATGGGATGACACTCCAACCAACTGAGCCACCTGGCAAGGGCAGGTTCAAACAGTTTTTGAGTAAGAGTCTCTGACAACCATCAGATATCATCCCAAGTGGCTGACTCTCATCTGAACCAAAGGCAAATGTTACCTCCAGAAAATAAGTCTGTCAACTTCGTTCGGCAGGCCTTTATCTGTTATAGGTTTTTTTAAAAAGCAATCCTATAAAATCTACCACCCTGTACTGATTTTAACTCAAAGGAAATGGAAAATATCTTGAACCAAATAGGATTCCAGAGAATCCTTTATTAAAAGTACACTCAATAATCATAGAATGTCAGATTCCAGACTGGCAGCTAATGTCTTGTTCTAGACCAGCAGTTCTCAGCCTGTGGGTCATGACCCCTTTGGGGGCCTTTCACAGGGGTCGCCCAAGACCATCGGAAAACACATATATAATTACATATTGTTTTTGTGATTAATCACTATGCTTTAATTATGTTCAATTTGTAACAATGAAATTGGGGGTCACCACAACATGAGGAACTGTAGTAAGGGGTCGCGGCATTAGGAAGGTTGAGAATCACTGTTCTAGACCCTTTGCCTGGGTTCATACTTTCTTGGCCTTCTTTATTCTGCTTCCCTGACCCAAATCCCCATAAGTCATAATTCCTATTTCATATGATTCCTGAGAAAATGACATTAAATACAAGTCATTACAGTAATGAATTTTGCTTAATATTTCATTTTGTTAGAAAACAGATACTATAGATATGATCAACAAGGGATGGAATCTGTATTCAGAAAAACTAGAATTAAAAAGTTTTATTTTCAAATTTATTTAAATCAGTTCAGCTCAGCCAGTGTGGCTCAGAGGTTGAATGTGGAACTATGAACCAGGAGGTCACTATTCAATTCCCGGTCAGGGGACATGCCCAGGTTTTGGGCTTAATTCCCAGTGGGGAGCATGCCGGAAGCAGCCAATCAATGATTCTCTCTCATCATTGATGTTTCTCTCTCTCTTTCCTCTCTTCCTCCCTGAAATCAATAAAAAACTATGTTTAAAAAAATCAGTTCATAATTAAAATTCAAAAACACTTTGTTTATACCTATAAATAATATAAGGCTGGGCAAAAGTAGGTTTACAGTTGTGATTACGTAAACGTTTATTCTTGTACTGGAGGCCTGGTGCACGAAATTCGTGCGGGGGGGGGGGGGGGGGGGTCCCATCAACCTGGCCTGCAATAACACCAGCGTCCCTCACACTGGCCTCTGGCCCGAGGTCCCTCCCCTCCCTCCATGCGGCCGGGGCTAGAACTCTGGGCTCATGTGTGGGGGGGAGGGGGAAGCAAGGCGAGCCCAGTGTCACACCAAGGCCTAGGGCCAGAAGCCCCTCCCCTCCCACCATGGGGCAGGGACGCTGGGCTTGCGTTGCTGGGGCAACACCACCAGCATCCCGCCCTGGCCACTATGAGCACCACCATCTTTGTGGTGAGTGATGGTTAATTTGCATATTACTCTTTAATTAGATTATTTAATTATTGTACTATTTTCCATATGAACTATAAATCTACTTTTGCCCGCCCTGTCTGTTTTTCTTCCAGACCCAAATAAAGTCCTATACCTATGCATACAGATTTGAAGATCAGAAGTGACTTAATATCCCAGACCTCACCTATTCCTATCCCATTATAAGGTCAGACCCAAACTAAGAATAAGTCAAAAGATGTCTTATGGCCCAGAAGTATTCTACAAAACTAATGACCAAATTATCCAAGGCTTAAAAGCTTACAATGATTCCATAGCCAAAAGTTAACTTTGGGGTAAATACTGAGTTCGACCTGTCCCAAATTCCCAGAAAACCACTGAAGTTTTTGGAGTCCCTCCATAACAAAATACTTGTCAGGTTCCCCGCAGTATGAATCTTGGCCTTCAGGTCTGGCTCTTACCAAGTCAGCCCACAAAGTAAAGAAGAACATTCCTAGGGAATGTAACCAGTGGCATTCAACACTCCCCAACATGAGTATCCTGCATGACCACCTAGAAATCAGGAAGTAAACCAAAAGCCCATGAATTTCAATTCCTCTTTCTAACATTTTTTCTAATACATTTCAACTCTGAATTTTATGAAGATAAAAATGTCACCAAAATAATAATAATCTATCCTAAACAATATAAGGGATAATTTTTTAAACAGAATAGTTTCAGCAAAACTATTATGACACCAGAATTAAGGAAATCACCACAGAATTTGAAATCTTTTTCTTTATATTCTGAATAAAGGCTTCACTAAGTAGATAATGATCTATATAAAACAGTACTTCACATTAACTGTAGTAGCAGGTGTAAGAAATTTTTTTAATAAATACAATCCAGAGATTGGTGGTATCCCATTTTTCTTAGCTTGAAAGTTAAAATTTCTCCATCAGTACTTGACTATAAAACAGAATAACCTCAGTAAATTTTGAACTGTTTTAAAACCACTGCATTGGTTCTGGCCTTAAGAAATCTTAAGGATTGCTTCTTGAATAAGGTTGAACCAATGGGAAACTATACAGGTTTATTTGTAAATAATCATACCTGGGACAAGCTGTATCAGATTACAAAGTAATTCCTAGTGCTATATAGTATTTGATCCTGTACCCTACAACCTGGAATTTGTCCTAAACTTGACCTCTCCTCCAAAGAATTAGAGAACGCCTAAGGTTACATAATTCCTTCATCAGGATTCCTCCGAAAGCAGAATTTACCTGGTATAATAACCAGAACTGTAGTGGCTAAATCAAACTATCTGTCCACTTTGCCTAAATGCCTTTGATCCATCCCCTAAACTCATTTCTTTTCTCCACAATGCAAAAGTCCAGTCCCTAAATCCTGTTCACGCACTGTCAAAACCGCCTGCAGGTTTCGAAAACGACACTCATTTTTTTTTAAATATATTTTATTGATTTTTTACAGAGAGAAAGGGAGAGGGATAGAGAGTTAGAAACATCGATGAGAGAGAAACGTCGATCAGCTGCCTCCTGCACACCCCCTATTGGGAATGTGCCCGCAACCAAGGCACATGCCCCTGACGGGAATCGAACCCGAGACCCTTCAGTCCGCAGGCCGAGGACACTCTATCCACTGAGCCAAACTAGCTAGGGCACGACACTCATTTTTATTAAGAATTTGATTCCATCTAAGTGTTGCAAAATAATCTAGTCACATGGTTTGAAATGGACATTTCTTAAATGACCTGTTTCACATGGAGCTTATCTGTTAGACTGAATTGGAGTTCGCACATCAACAAAGTAATGTTACTATTATTACCTGTCAGTCCATAAGAAGAGCCTTCAGGCCGTTCATCAGTGCATGGTAATGCTTTAAGGTGATAAATCATACAACAATGGGGGGAAAGGGAGACATATGTAACACTATATGTAATACGTTAAACAATAAAGAATTAAAAACAATAACAGCCCTAACCGGTTTGGCTCAGTGGATAGAGCGTTGGCCTGAGGACTGAAGGGTCCCAGGTTCGATTCCGGTCAAGGGCATGTACCCTGGTCGCGGGCACATCCCCAGTAGGGGGTGTGCAGGAGGCAGCTGGTCGATGGTTCTCTCTCATCGGTGTTTCTAACTCTCTATCCCTCTCCCTTCCCCTCTGTAAAAAATCAATAAAATATATTTAAAAAAATAAAAATAATAACAAATCATACAATATGATGGCATTTACAAAAAAAAATAGTATGTTATCTATAATACAAACACACAAACTTAAGTGTTCAGTTAGGCGCTCTTTCCTCACAAAATCATATAGACTGCACATCTGCCAACGAGTTGCCAAGGAAGCTTGAGTTTTTACAGTTTGTTTCTCTGTTGTTCACCCTATTGGAATACGATAACTAAAACAACTATTTGAAACAAAAGGCTGAGAGAGCTGAAACCAGACAGGTTACTCCGTAATCCGGAAGTTGTGAGAAACATAAACCCCTCGTATTCTGGCCTCGGAAGAGAGACTGAAGAGCCGGTCTACAAAGGCTGGCCAGGAAAAGAACAACGACCTGACAGTCCTACTCTGTGCACGGTCCCGTACAGGGAAGCACTAGGGCAACGCCATGCCCATTTAAACCAGCCTCTGACACGCCACGCAGGGACCCCAAAACACTCCTCTTTGGGTCCTAGGCTGAGTGAGGACAGGCACGAGGAAGAGAAACGAGTAGGGGGGAAAAAGTAAACGGTCCAAAGATTCTTCAAAAGGCACAGTTCCATGGGGCCGCCTATAAGCCTGGGAAAAGACACCGCCGGAATCTCCCACACAAAACACACCCATAGTTTCCAAAAAGTTCCCCGCGCCCCGCCCTCTGCGCCTAGGCCTGCGGGGCGCGTCCCGCTCCGAAACCCTCCAACTCACAGGTGTCCTTGGGGCAGGGCCTATCGGCACTGCCCGCCCAGGAGCTCCACGGCCGGAGCGGCGGCGGCCCACGCGCCCGGGGGTAGCTTTCGCCGGAGCCGAGAGGCAGCGGCCCGCGGAGTGGCGAGGCCTGGCTCCGAACGCGGATTGCGTTCTACACCCGAACTCGGCGGCCGGGGCGGTGAGACGCGAGGAAAGGCAGGGCCGGCAAGGGTGTGGGAGGTTGAGGGCGGTGGCTAGAGGCGGAAGACCGAAAAGTCGCCCCAAAAGCGGCGTAGAATGCCCATTCGGAAACACCCGGAAGACCGCCGTGACCCCGGATGGGAAGAGCGGGGAAGTCACACTTCCGGCAACACCCCCACCCCTCCTGCGAGCGCTGTGCTAGAAAGCGCATGCGCACGACTGCTGGGTCCCGGGTTGGCGGGAGATGCGGCTCAGCGCCAGGGTTGGAGGGGAAGCGCTAGGACTACCCTGAGGCTGGAGACCTAAGGCATCAGCCCAGAGCCGCCTGTCCAGGCCCACGCACTGCAGTTCTCGCTCTGGTAAACATTTTTTACTGGTCCTTCGTGTCTCAGCGGGGTGACTCCTCCCCAGAGAAGCTTTTCCTGACCCAGTTTTCCCTCTTCTGCACCCATCTGTTTTAAGCTTTTTTGTCTTTTTATTTTTTGATGTATTTTTATTGATTTCAGAGAGGAAGGGAGAGGGTGAGAGAGATAGAAACATCAATGATGAGAGAGCATCATCGATCAGCTGCCTTCCTCAAGCCCCACATTGGGGATGGAGCCTGCAACCTGGGCATGTGCCCTGACCTGGAATCAAACTGACCTGGTTCATAGGTCCACGATCAACCTTAGCCACAGGGCTGGGTTTGTATGTCTTATGCTATCTTAGCATTCACTTCCTAGAGGCCTGAACTAACACAGCAGCCTTCGCCCAGAAAGTGCCATTTAAGATGAAAATTTGAGCCCTAGCTGGTTTGGCTCAGTGGATAGAGTATGGGCTTGCAGACTGGTCCCAGGTTCCATTCTGGTCAAGGACACATGCCTGTGTTACCGCCTTGATCCCCAGTAGGAGGCGTGCAGGAGGCAGCCAATCAATAATTCTCTCTCATCATTGATGTTTCTCCCTCTCCCTCTCTGAAATCAATAAAAATATATTTTCTTAAAAAAAAAGATGAAAATTTGAGAGGAGAATAGGAACAGTCCTGAGTTAGACAGGAGCTTGGCACAGTGCCTGACACGTGGTTAGTGCTCAATAAATATTGCTGGAGTCAATGGAATGCAAAGCACTTTGTGTACGGCATATACTGTTAATTATTCCTCAAAAACAATTTTGAAAAAAAAGTTATATTATTATCCCTAATTTAAAAATGACAAAACTGAGGATCAGAGCTGTAATGTGTCTCGTCCAAGGTCAGGCAGTAGTTGAAAAGTACAGCTAGGATACAAACTTAGATTTGTTTTTAACTGCTTAACCAAGTTATACTGGCTCTCTTCATAGGAACTAAAAATGGGCTTTGAAAAGAAGATGCTTGCAATAGAATTTTTTTAAATTTGTAATTCATCCAAAAGTCCCTGGCTCTTATAAAAACAGCAGAATCACCCTAGTGATGCATATGAAAGACATGAGATAACTGGAAAGGATTTCATTAATGGAGACTATGTTGTAAGAAAAGTTCTATAGTTAGAAAAGCAGAAGTTTGAAAAAAATTCTAGGAAGTTCCTCTTCAAATCATACCATATGGAGATACACAGATGTCTAATTAGGAAGAAGTGACTGAAACCAGAGGTTCGGGATAGACTTAGATGATTACTATGGCATTAAAACTCTTTAACCTTACTGATTTTGCACTTTCCAGTGTGATCCCTCACACATCATGGGTACACTTCCAAAGTTCATTCTTCTGTATGCAATTTGAGAACATCCTGGCTAGCGAGTTGAACAGTGCTCCTTAGAATTCAAAATACCCTACTCTATAATTCTATCTCTAATGAGTTTATTATAGAACAATCCCAGCAAATGGTTTTAGAATATTAGAACCAAAGCGAAGTTTAGCAATTATCTGTGCTCCTTATTTTACATGTAAGAAAACAATGGATGTATTAAAGATAGGAAAATAAATTAATTAATATATACTAGGTCATTTGAAGTAGATCAGCATGTAATTTCAACTTAGATATGATGTGAGAATAGACAGTACAATCAATTAAGGCAAATGCAAGTTCTACACAAATACACTATGAATATAGTTCTCTATTCACATTGACAGAACCCTTGGAAGTTTCAAGTTGAAATTACTGCCATAGGTTCTCAAGCCTCTAAAAATTGCTATAATAAATATAAGTTTTAGTAGGAATTTGCTCAGAGTTATAAATTAGTGAGTTGGTGGGGTGGAGGGTTCATAGAATGTATTGCTTTTTATAGAATTTGTTTCACATTTACACTCCTTGAATTTTTTTTTTCTTCCTGGGAAGGTTATTGAAAGGGCGAGGGCTACGCCCTCCATCTTACCCTGGATCCTCCATTTTTGGGCAGTAGCCTTAGCCATGTGCTCGGCAAGGAGCTTCTTCCCGGAAGCCCAAGCCTCTGCTATCCACACCTAGGATTTCTTTAAACTAACCAATGACAATCAAGGGAAGTGCACACCATAGACACAACCACATCCTGTGTAACAAGACCCCAACTTGCACCTGGCCAATCGGCAGGGCCCACAGTCCTCTCTCCTCCCCTTACTCCACCCCCCTATAAAACCCCTCTTCCCACAGGGCTAGCTCTCTCTCTGCTGCTTGCCGCTGCATCGGCGATTGTGGTCAGGAAGCCGAGCTAGCTCGAATAAAGACTCTATCTGCTTTTGCATCGGACTCGGCTGGCTCCCTGGTGGTCTTTTGGGGATCCTGAAATCTGGGCTTAACAGTTATCTCTCACTAATTCATTTGTTCATTCATTTAATCAGCCATTCAATCAATCAACAAATCTTTATTGAGCATCCATTATTTGCCAGATTCTTTTCTAGGCAAATAGTTACAACTTAAACGTCATCATTGGGAGGTGGAGGGTGATAGTAATGAATACCTGGATACAAGAGACAGCTATTTAGAAAAGGAGCCAGAAGTTCAAAACCAAGCAAAGCAATATGTAAACAATATTAAATCTCAGCACGGCTGGAAAAGTGTTTTCAAGAAATACAATTTCATTTAAAAGAATATTTCCTCGCCCTGCCGGTGTGGCTCAGTGGTTGAGCATCAACCTGCAGGAAGTGGGCCTCTGTGATCCATCTCCAGCATAGTCAGCTTTTGATGGAAACTGTTCCTGAATTTTTCCAGGGCAAACAGAATATAGGGAGAAGGGAAGAGGATGTAAGACAGTGGTTCTCAACCTTGGTTGCACATTTAGAATCACCTGGGAATCATTTTCAAATCCTGATTTCTGGGCCCCATCCTCCGGAAATTCTGTTTCTTTGTTATGGGTTGGGGCCACAACATTAGTAACAAAGAAACAAAATTTCCAGAGGATGAGGCCCAGAAATCGGGATTTTAAAAAGATTCCCAGGTGATTCTAAATGTGCAGCCAAGGTTGAGAACCACTGATGCAAGAGCAAGGAACTCTGGACGTGGGCCAGCATCATGGTGAAAACCCCCAAAGCGCCTGCCCCAACTAGATGGGGAAGGTGGAGACAACTAGAATAGGCCTCAGACCAATTTTTTTTTAATGGCCCAATGGGAGACAATAAGACCTACCTGACATATGAGGAAACAGGTGATCCCATAATATTCAGCCAATGGGGAACCAGAGGAGGGATTGAATAAATGGGTTGTGATCACTGCCCAGCTGTGCCTGTGCAATCTGGACTGACACCGGCTCTCAAGAACATCTTGTTTTCACCATACTTCTGTCTCCGAGTTCATTATTTGAATTCAGACTGATGAGCATTTCTCACAGACCTATGAACCAGGAGGTGACTGTTCGATTCCCGGTCAGGGCATGTACCTGGGTTGTGGGCTCAATCCCCAGTGTGGGGTTTGTAGGAGGCAGCCAATCAATGATTTTTCTCTCTTCATTGATGTTTCTATCTTTCTCTCCCTCTCCCTTCCTCTCTGAAATCAGTAAATATATATATATATATTTTAATATATTTTAATGATTTTTTACAGAGAGGAAGGGAGAGAGATAGAGAGTTAGAAACATCGATGAGAGAGAAACATCAATCAGCTGCCTCCTGCACATCCTCTACTGGAGATGTGCCCACAACCAAGGTACATGCCCTTGACCGGAATCGAACCTGGGACCTTTCATTCCACAGGCCGATGCTCTATCCACTGAGCCAAACCGGTTTCGGCCAGTAAAAATATATTAAAATAATTTCCTCAAAAGGAAAAGTGAAGAAAGGGGCTGGCTTCTGAATAAAAAAAAAAAAAAAAGAAAGAAAGAAAGGGGCTGGGGAAAAAGTGAACTCATTGTACAAAAAGGTAATTCTCATAAGTAGCAGAAGGTAGTGCTTTAGTTTCTAAATTTTTCTATTGGTATTCTGCCTAGCTTTCTTTATACTACACTTTCTGCTGTTAACAATTTCTTCTTAGGAAGTTCCCACTCAGAGAAATGTTCAGGGTAATGTTAACCAGATAGCTTTTTCTAATCTTCCCCAGGAAAAAAAATGCAAAGTAGGGTTTGAAAGTAACACTGCCATCTACAAGCAAGTACTTTGAAAAACAACAACAACACTGAAATTCCATCATCTGGGTAGATGTCCACGCTGCCAGAAATCTAAGAATAAGACTTTGCAGTGGAGCTTCTGGTTTACAGAAAATAGAAATGTGATTAAAATAAAATAAGAAAAATAACTTCAAAGTCTTGGCATCCTTCAATTACAAAAAGTCCATTTGCCTGTATATTTTTCTCTATATTAGCTGCATCTTTCCAGTAAAATGAGATAATTAGCCATGTTCCTTCAACATCTCCGCATCTGAGTTTCCTTATCTGCATGGGGATATTATAATAGCATCTACCTCTTTGTTGTGAAAATTTAATTCTTAGTATTTATTAAGAAGGTTTAAACATCAATCCAGATACCTGTCCATTTAGTCATTTCCTAAGTATCATTATGTTTAGCCTTAACCACTACTAATAGCCAGGACTCCTTCCCTCCCACCACCATCTCCCCCCAAAGTTACCAAAGCCTTTGTTTTTAGACGAGTCTGAGGATATGCATAGGATCATTGAGTAAGACTATTTTCTGATTCATCCTGCAAT